CCCTTCTTTGTCGGATTGCTTCGCTTCAAGCTCGGCTCCTGACCGTCCAAGATGGTCGGGTCACCTTCCGACAGCATCGTGTGGGATCCGTGGTCACCAAAAGACCGCTGCTCGATTGGCCGATTCGGGCTGCGATTGTCCACTTCTACGGCCAAAGCAGCAGGTCCGAGCAGCGAGCACAGATTTGCTTTGCTCTCCCAGGCACTACTGGATGTAGTCGTCGTCGCGAGGGTCAAGAAGCACGTCGAGCGAACCGAAGCTCTATTTTGCCGTTGGCCTTCGCTTGCGCCTCACGGCTTGCGGTGCACGAGTCGCTCACGGATGCGGGTTGCGGTATTATAGTGGCGCGGCTGACTAGCTCGACCCCCCTTCCGGATCTCGAGCTTGTCGTGCCCAGCTCCTGACGGCCAGCCCGTCCATATTCGTCAAGCTGGGGTGCAGCGGATAGGGTTGCCGAGGGAGACGCGAGCGAGCAAACAGCGGTCTATGTCCCATGTAGGGCTCGAGTGCAGGCGATCCGGGCTTGCTTGACGCGCAAACAGCCAGCCAGATGGCGCCGATTTTCTAGACGCGCAGCACCGCCTGCCACCCAGATGCCACAGGCTTGCTCTCTACGGACTCAGCACAGCAGGAACCGGATGTGAGTCTGACCTGCGCCGCTCCCGCTCGAGAATAGGTGACAAACGTACCCGTCTGGCTACGCACTTGGGCTTGCTGCGGCCAAAAATTGAGCGTCTAGGACACGGACTGAGCTGCCCATCCTGCGCCAAAGTAGTCTATTTGTGTAGCGCCCGTTGCTGATGTTTCAACAGCGAGGTCCAAGGGTCGACCCAAGAAAGGGAATGGCAGTTGCTGCCACGGCGGTAGGACCTAGTGGCAACGAGACCGCGCAGCTGCGCAAACCTTAATGAAAGGGCTCGCCATGATCCGTTTAGCGGGCCGAGCTCGTGGCGCAACGTCACATCGTCAAAAGGGGACCGCGTATCCCGAGAGCAGCGACCGGCCGGCGCTGAGTTGGCATGGGCTCAAGCTCGAAGGACCACGTTCAGCCTGCAGAGCATCCGGGTCTGCCGCGAAGAAGAGGCAATATCGTGCGGCTCGAGATTGAGCTCGAACCTCCGCCGAGTACCCCTGAGCTCTGTCTGCTCGGTCGGATACACGAGCGGTCTGTCGAAACTTGTCGCTGCTGCGCGATGCCTCCAGGAGCAGCTTGCTGACAGGGGCGAGGCTATCCGTCGTGCACTGACGCCGTCCGACGAAGCAATCCGTGTCTTGTCCGGCAAGCAGGTAAGATGCAACGAGCATCCAGGGCGACGAACATGGATTCACAGGAGCCTGGAATGGAGCGCAGCTGGTCGATGTACCGAGCCCGTCGTTTGCGCCATGACTGGATCGAGGAGGTCCAAGCGGCAGCTGTGCAGATCGGTCGAGCCCGTGGGAAAGGAAAGGGAATGCGGACAGGGCGCTGGCGATGTCTTCGGATCCAGGCAGAGTCTTCACTAGTACTCACTGAGCGTGTTGGAGCGGCTCTACTGCTCCGCCTTTTGTCCGTCGCCATAAAGCATCGGCCTGTAGATGGCGTTAAAAGCGACACCGCCCCGTGGGGTCTGCAGGCAAAGGCCGCGAAGCCACCCCGACGCAATCGCATTGCGCTACCGGGCGATCCGAGCGCGGGGTAGACAAAGGGAAGCTGGAACCGCGGAGCTGGGACAATGATGAAAGGCGGCGGGGTTTAATGAAGAGCGGAGCGGCGTCTCGCCATCGACATCGCTTTTGTCGTCGTCGTCCCAGGTTTTGCCTAGGTCGTGTGTGAGCGGCCGACGGGGGTGGTGGTGTAGCTCTGACCGTGTCCCATCATCTCGCTCAGGAGCGTATGAGCGCAGGCAGGGCTTGGACCTCGTTTTCTCCCACGCCAGAGGTAAGCGAGCTCCGGTGACGTTTATCTTTGTGGGCTACGAAGGAGACGGGGACGAGCCGCTAGAGTGCGCTGGTCACAAGGACGCAGCGAAGGGCGAGAGGGTCAAAGCGTGGTGCGCTCGGGACTTGATCGTGTGGGGAGCGAGGATGGCAAGACAGGTCCCGATGAGATCGCGATGGGTGGCAGTGATGGCTCTTATCACCACTGCAATCGGCCTGGCACGGTTGGGATGTGGTGACGGTGGCGAGGCCTGGAGTGTCTTTCGAGCCTGGCGCGAGGGGCTGAGCACTTGGTGCCGGGGAGAGGCAGGGCGCAGGAACGAGAGGCGTGAGCCGAGTCGAGGGCTTGCTGATGCCGCAGTCTGCGATGCAACAAAGGGTGGAGCAGCGGCGACGACGGTGGCGACGAGGCGACGTTGTGCCTGCCGCAGTCGTAGGCCGTCGTCGAGGCGGGGCCAGGGCCAGGGCGAGTCGCCCGCGCGAAGGCCTGTCTGGCGTGGCGTATCGCGAGGCCAGCTGAAAGAGATAGGTAGGGTAGGCAAGGTGGAGGCGAGGCGAGGCGAGGCAAGCAGGCAGGCGCCAGAGGGAGGAAATCCGAAATTGTTGGGGGCCAAAAGGCGAGGCCGCCTGCCTGCCTGTCTGCCTGAGCCGGCACAACGCAGACCACCCGACCCGACCGGTGGGTGCCTCGTGCCAAGCCAGGCTAACGAGGTCAGGCCAGCGCACAGAGGCTCGGACCACGAAGAAAGCGCCGGCAGACCCAAGCCAAGCCATCCAATCCTTGGCCTTTCTTCCACCTCTATCCCCGCCATCTTCGACTTCCATCCTCCCCATCAACTCCTCCTCGACATCCACAACCTTTCCGCCCGCACCCGCAATGAAGGCTGCCGAGGTCATCGACGACGCCCTGCGTCACGTCGGCCTGCGTGTCGGTGAGCGTCACTGCCATGCTACCCGACACGGATAGCAGGGCACCCCGCTCACCCTTACCTCGTGTGCGCCTAACCTTGACTTGCCCAAAACCACCTCGCTCGCAGACCACGGCGTCACCCCGCTCTCTGCCAGCATCCTCCTCCTCGCCGGTATCGGCGCCATCTCGGCCGGCACCTTCCTCCTTCGCTTCGCCAGGGTCTTGGCTGACTGCTACCTCCTGCCTGGAACCTCGGTGAGTCGCGCGCCTGGCGGCGGCCCCCCCCCACCGTACATCCGCGCCGCACTGACACACACACACACACCCTCTCCTGCCCTTGATCTGACCCTCTCGCCAGCTCTCCAAGTTTGGAGCCAACAAAAAGCAGCCGGGCAGCGGCACCTGGGCCGTCGTGACGGGCGCCACTGACGGCATCGGACGCGAGTTTGCGCTGCAGCTGGCCAAAAAGGGCTTCAACATCCTCCTCGTCAGCCGCACGCCCGAGAAGCTCGGCGCCGTGGCGGGCGAGATCGAGTCGGCCTGCGCCGGCATCAAGACGCGCACCCAGGCCGTCGACTTTGCCCAGGGCGACGAAAAGCAGTACGCCGCCCTCGAGGAGACGGTGCGGACGCTCGACGTCGGCGTGCTGGTCAACAACGTGGGCAAGTCGCACGACATGCCCGTCCCCTTTGCCGAGACGCCCCACGACGAGATGGAGGACATTGTCGAGATCAACGTCGTCGCCACGCTCCGCGTCTCGCGCATGGTCGTCCCCGGCATGGTGGAGCGCCGCCGCGGCCTGGTGCTCAACGTCGGCTCCTTTGCCGGCCAGACGACGACGCCGCTGCTCGCCACCTACGCCGGCAGCAAGGCCTTCCTCTCGGGCTGGTCCCAGGCCCTCGGCGAGGAGCTGTCGCGCTCCAACGTCGTCGTCTCGCTCCTCAACACCTACTTTGTCACGTCCAAGCTCTCAAAGGTGCGCAAGAGCTCCAGCATGATCCCCACGCCCAAGCAGTACGTCGCACAGGCGCTCGCCAAGGTCGGAAGGCAGGGAGGCGCCGTCGGACGTCCTTACACCAGCACGCCCTGGCCCGGACACGCCCTCGTCGATTGGGCCACCACCTACGTCGTCCCGCGCGCCTGGCTCCTCAAGTTTGTCTACGGTCAGCAGGTCGCCACGAGGAAGAGGGCCCTCCGAAAGGCCCAAAAGGCCGTCAAGGCCCAGTAGGGCCCCGCCAGTGCCAAACCGCGGGGACGCCGCGAGCGAGAATCGCGCCGCGGGGGACGAAGGGGCCGGTGAGGGCCCTCCCTAGGGAAATCCAAAAAGGGGCTGCTGCTGCTGTCGTCGTGTACGAAGAGGGTGCAGGACGGAATTGGGCACACAAGGAGGAGGCGGAAAATGACGATCGTATCACGGGCCGCGGTGCCCCGCCCAGCCAATCAGCCAGCCAACCAGCAATGACAACCAAGGAAGATTCTACGCCGGCGCCGTCATCTACATCGCACGGGACCGCCACCGCTCTTGCACAGCTGACCGATACTTATGCATCCTGGCGAACCGACGACAACGACGGCCGCTCAGGGCGTGCACCTGCCGGTCCAGCGCGGGTAGAGGCTGGCTTCCCGGACGGTCCACCTGTTGGTGAGCCAGGCGAGGAAGCGCTCGACGCCGAGGCCGTATCCGCCGTGCTCGCAGGTGCCGTACTTGCGCTGGTCGGTGTACCAAAAGTAGGGGGCGGCGTCGATGCCTTCGTTTTTGTAGGCGGCGAGCAGCTCGGCCTGGTCCGACATCCTCATGCTGCCGCCGACAATCTCGCCGACGCCGGGCATGAGGACGTCGACGGACTCGGTGAATCCCTCGTCGCCCTCGATGCGCTTCATGTAGAACGACTTGATCTCGCGCGGGAAGCCCGTGAGGAAGATGGGCACGTTGAGCGCATCGGTCATCTTGCGCTCGGCCGCCTCGGCAATGTCGTCGCCCACCTTGTGCGCCTCGCCGTCCTCGTTGGGGATCTGGTGCTCGTTGAGCCAGGCGATCGCCTCCTTGTAGTCCATCCGCCGGAAGGGGCGGCTGGGGAACTTGAAATCCGGGTTGAGCTGATCGAGGAGCGCCTTGGCCTGCGGGTTGGCCAGGACGCGCTCGAGGGTGCCGCAGATGATCTGCTCGAGGTGCTCGAGCAGGTCGGTAAACGACAGGAACGCCAGCTCGGCCTCGAGGTGCGTGTACTCGCTCAGGTGGCGGCGGGTGTGGCTCTTTTCGGCGCGGAAGCTCTCCTGGACGCAGAAGACGTCGCCGAGCGAGGGCAGGCACGTCTCGAGGTAGAGCTGCGAGCTCTGGGTGAGGTAGGCCGGCTGGCCGTAGTAGTCGAAGCTGAAGAGCGTCGAGCCGCCCTCGACCTGGGTCTGGACCATGCACGGCGGCGTCACCTCGGTGAGCTGGAGCGCCTCAAACTCGGCGCGGAAGGCCTGCAGCACGTAGCTGCGCACCTTGAGCACCGCCGAGGCCGTCTCGCCGCGGATGACGAGGTGGCGGCGGTCGGCGAGGCTGTTGGGGTCGGCCGTCTCGGCGACGACGTTGGTAAAGGCCTCGTCGCCTCCAGGCGCCTTGCCGATGCACTTCCAGTAGTCGGCCACGAGCTCGTGGCCTCCGGGCGCCGTCTTGCCCTCGGGGAGCGCCTTGATGTGGCCGTGGATCTCGACGGTGCTCTCGGTGGTGAGGGTGAGGGCGTCGTAGGTCTGGGTCAGCTTGCCCGACAGGACGCACTGCAGGTAGCCGTAGCCGTCGCGCAGCACGATAAAGGTGAGGCCCTTTTGGGAGCGCAGGCGGTGGACCCAACCGCACACCTTTACGCGCTGGTCGCGGAACTGGGCGCCCTGGCTGATCTTGATCTTGCGCGCCGGCTCCGAGGGCTGCTCGAGGACGACCTTCTTGCTCTCCTCGAGCTTCTTGTCGTCGTCGCCGGCCTTTTGGCTGTCCTTGAGCGCCTGCTCCTGGGCCTTTTCGCGCTTCTTGACGGCGGCGGCGTAGAGCTTGGCCACCTTTTTCGAGGCCGAGGTGGTGATGGGCGCGTAGCCGTCGGCATCGACGCCGTCTGCGCCCGGCGCCGCGTCTGCCTTTTTGACAAAGACGGATGCGTTCTGGCCCTTTGCGAGGAGGGCGGCGAGCGGGGTAGCGTAGGGGGCGGCCTTGGAGCCGTCGGCGGTGTCGTCGCTGCCCTTTGCCTCGTCGACGTAGACTGCGTGCGTGTGTGCGGCGGAGACAGACGAGGGCGGGCGCGAGGAAGAGGAGTCAGCATGCGGTTTGACATGGTCGTCTTCGAGAGCAGGGCAGGGCAGGGCAGCGTTGCTCGACCATGGACGCAGGGGAAGCTCACCAGAGATGCCGGAGCCAGTGGCCTGGGTGGCCGTGTCCTTGGACGAGCCGGGGGCGATGTGGAGCTTTTCGGCGGCGGACGCGAGTGCGTCCTTGATGGCGGCCATGGCGGTGGGCTGTAGGGGTAGGGGTGTGGGGATGTGGCGAGGGTGAGGGGGACAGACGGTAGAGAGGGAGGGAGGGGGAAAGAAAGATAAGGAGGCTGGCCCGCCGTGGGTTGATGGAGTGTTGGACTGGGCGTGGGCGGCGAGGTGCGCCCTTTTCTTCGCAGATGCCGGCTGGCAAGTGCGGCCGGCCAGCCAAGCGCAAGCAAGGGGGCGGGCCAAAGGGGGAGCCCTCGAGGCCAGGCCAGGCCAGGCCAGGCCAGGCAGCAGCAGGTGACTCCGACTTCCGGCCGGCTGGGTGGCGAGTTGAACGGCTTCTCACCGGCCCAACAGCCTCGCCCCCGCTCGCTGCCTCGCCCGCTAACCAAATTATTCTTCTGACTCGTTGCATCCTCGCTTGCTCCTCGCTCTCTCTGCCTCTCTCTCTGACTCCATCCCAACCACGACGGTCCACAGTCAACCGGTCTCTTAACCCACGACCTCCCTCGCCTCCGCCACGTCGCCCTCCTTCACGCCCCTGCCACCACCACCACCCACACACACTCGCCACCAACATGGCCATCAAGGGCCTCGACACCTCGGCCGCTTCGGCCGTCCGCGCCGCAAAGCCGCCCCACTTTAAGCTGGAAAACGTCATCCGCCCAAACATCCTCAGCCTCGAGCCCTACCGCTGCGCAAGAGACGACTACCAGTCCGGCATCCTCCTCGACGCAAACGAAAACTCGCTCGGCCACGCCCTCCCCGCCAACTCGTCCCTCCCCCACAACCCGCCATCGTCCTCGGCAGCGGCGCCACCGTCGGCTAACGGCACCAATGGCACCGCCGCCAACGGCGCACAGACAATCATCCCGGGCGCGGGCGACCAGGACCCGCTATCGCTCCACCGCTACCCTGACCCCGGCCTCTTTGGCATCCGCTCCGCCATCTCCAACCTCCGCGGCGTCCCCAACGAGGCCTTCACCTTCCTCGGCGTCGGCTCCGACGAGGTCCTCGACCTCATCCAGCGCGTCTGCTGCACCCCGGCAAAGGACAAGATCCTCATCTGCCCGCCCACCTACGGCATGTACTCGGTCTGCGCCGCCGTCAACGACCTCGAGGTGGTCAAGGTGCCCCTCGTCACAAAGGGCGGCCAATTCAGCCTCGACGTCGACGGAGTGAACCGGGCCATCTCGGCCGACCCGGCCATCAAGCTCGTCTTCATCTGCAGCCCCGGCAACCCCACAGGCACCCTCATCCCCCCAGCCGACGTCCGCCCCATCCTCGACAACCCCGACTACCGGGGCATCGTCGTCGTCGACGAGGCCTACATCGACTTTGCCGAAGAGGAGAAGCGCATGGGCAAGCGGCCCGCCGACCAGGTCGTCTCGGCCGTCAGCATGGTCGACGAGTACCAGAACCTCGTCGTGACCCAGACGCTGAGCAAGGCGTTTGGCCTGGCCGCCATCCGCCTCGGCATCGCCTTTGCCCACCCGGCCATTATCCAGATCATGAACAACACAAAGGCGCCCTACAACATCTCGGCGCCCACCGCCCACCTCGCCTCGCTCGCCCTCACCGCGATCGGCGTCGAGACGATGCGCAAAAACGTCCAGACCCTCATCCGCAACCGCGACGCCCTCATCGCCGACCTCGAGCGCCTCGAGGGCACGGGCGCCATCCTGGGCGGCAACCACGCTAACTTTGTCCTGGTCCAGATGCTCGATTTCGAGACGCGCAGCCGGCCCTCGAACGACGTGGCCCAGCTGGTCTACACGCGCATGGCAGAGGAGAGGGGGTTGGTGGTGCGCAACAGGGCAAAGGACCTCGGATGCGACGGCTGCCTCCGCATCACGGTGGGAACCGAGGATGAGAACAAGCGCTGCATCGTCCTCCTGCGCGAGCTGCTGCAGAACAAGGGTCAGTGGACGCAGTGAGGCCGGGCAGCGGTGGCGGCGGCGGCCGCGGTGGCCGACTGGCACGTAGCAGGTAGTAGGTGGCAGGCATCACGATGTAGGCAGTGTAGAGGGGTCGATGGCGAATGCGAGCGTCGACCTTTGAACCCATACCCAACGCCGTCCGACGTCGTCGCCGAGCTGGCAAAAACGAGCGGCTGGAGCGTCGTTCGCGAGGCACGGCATGTCAGGTAAGCAGCGAATGTAGGTTTCGTGTTTCCAGGTCCTCGTCGCTCATGATGCACCATCGTCTAGGCACGAGAAGAGGTATACAACAGATCGACGCCACCACAGCGGTGCAGGGCACGGAACGGCACGGCAGGGCAGGGCAGGGAGCATGGAGACGTGCAGGTCTAGATCCAATCGGCGTTTCTGGCCTCGGCGCTCCACGTGGCCGAGTGCTTGACGAGTTCGCGGCTCTCCTTTGCCGGTCTCGAGATGGCCGAGGCCTCACCGACCCAGCCCGCGATCGTCTTTACGATGTCGTCGGCGAGACCGAGGTCGTGGAGCGCCTGCGGGTCGCGCTCGAGGGCGGCGCGGATACAGAGGCTCTGCAGCGCCGCGTCGCCGGCGCGCGCATCGACGACGAGCGTGGTGAATGCGCGCCGGCCCATGTCGGCGTCGAGCTTGACCAACGACCCGACCACCTCGGCCATGCCCTGCTTGAAGGCGTCCTTGAGGTCCTCGCTGGTCGACGCCTCAAAGGCCGACTCGAGCAGGTTCATGATGGCCTCGCGCGACGGCGCACCGACATTCTTCGAGGGCGCATTGGCCAGCACCTGCGCCAGGGCCTGAGCGAACGAATCGGCAATCTCGCCCGTCTCGCCTGCACCCGCGCCCGCTCCGGCGGCCCCGTCGTCGCCGCCCGTGCCTCCACCGAGGCCGACAAAGCCCGACCGCGCACCCTGCACCAGCTCGAGGATGACGGGGTCCACGCGCGCCTGGAGCGCCATCAGGCTGCCCAGCGCGATGCCGGCGCGGCTGCGCACCGTGTTGCTCGATGCGTCCGACACCGCCTTCTGGTAGGAGCGCTGCAGCTGCGGGTAGAAGGGGCGCACCAGGGCGGGGATGTGGCGCACCATGGTGTCGAGCGACGTCAGGATGGCCGCCTTGACCGGCGGAGGGTGGCGGTCGCCGCACAGCCGGATCAGCGGTCCGATCATGGACGTGACGAACGGCTTGATGGCCTCGGGCGACGTGCGCTCGACAATGTCCGACAGGCCCAGCGCACCGTACTGGCGCTGCTCGGCCGTGCCGTTCATGAGGCCGGCCAGGAAGACGGGCACCAGCGGACCGGCGCCCTTGGGTCGGCAGAGGCCGGCCAGGTGCTTGCCCGGCGAGCCGACGCCCTCGAGGGTGCGGCGCAGCGGCACCACCAGGCCCTCCATCTCCTCCTTGGACACCGTCTTGAGGCACGCCTCGAGCGCCTCCCACGCCGCCTCGACCACCTCGGGCACCGGGTCGTCAAAGAGCGTGACGAGCTTGCGGATCCAGTCGACGAGGTAGTCGGACAGGTCGATCGAGGCGCGCTTGACGGTGCAGAACGTCTTGAAAAAGCGGCAGCCCGCGACGCGCTGCTGCGGCGACACGTTGGAGCCGGCCCAGCCGAGCAGCTGGATCATGGTCTGGTGCAGGCCGTCGACGTCCGAGATCGAAGCAAAGATGGCCTCGATGGCCGAGTCGAGGTCGGCCACAACCGCCTCGTCCTTTTCCAACTGCAGCGCCTTGGAGAGCGCCGTGAGGATGTTGGACAGGCGCCGGTTGAGCGCGGTGCCCGCCACCTTGACGAGCACCGCCAGCGCGCGCGCGTTGAACGACGTCATGGGCTGCGCGATGAGCGTCGGCACCAGGACGGGGAAGACGACGTCGGCGCGCGCCCGCATGACCTCGCGCAGCGCCGCCAGCGCCGTCTCCGAGGTGCCGCCGCTCGTGTCCGACAGCGCCTCGAGCAGCGTCGGGATCGTCTCGTCGATGGCGCGCGGACCGATGTACTGCTGCGTGGCGTCAAAGGCCTGGGCGGCGGCGTGGCGCACCATCTGCGACTCGTCGACGAGAGCGTGGCGGACGACGGCGATGATGGCGTCCTCGTGGTCCTCGAGCTGCGTCTTGGTCGAGTTGGCCAGGATCTCGGTGACGGCAAAGCAGACGCCCGACCGCGTCTTGGCGTCGTCGGACGTGGCGCCGCGCATCCGCAGGATGGGGATCGTCTCGCGCAGGATCTTTTCGCCCAGCTTCTTGACCAGCTCGCCGAGCGTGCGCGCCGCCATCTCGCGGTTCTCGTCGCCGTTAGAGGCGAGCGACTTGATGAGGATGTCGAGCATCGTCGGCAGCACCTCGCGCGCCGTCCGCGGCGTGTTGTGGACGAGCGCCTTCCAGGTGTGGATGGCCGCCTGCCGGACGGGGATGTTGGGGTCCTGGCGCACAATGTAGATCGAGGCGAGGATGCGGTCCCTGCGCTCCTGGCCCAGCGCCTCGACGAGGGCGCGCTGCACCGAGTTGTTGACGGCGATGGCCTCGTTGTTCTCGTCGGCGTCGTCCTGCTCGACCTCGTTCTTGCCCGAGATGCCCGACAGGCGGAAGAGGAGGTCGGCGATGAGCTGCAGCGATGACATGCGGATGCGCCAGCTCTCGTCGAAGAGGCCCTGCTCGAGGTGCGGCAGCAGCAGGTCGACGGCCTTGGACGAGTAGTTGGCAATGATCATGCGGCCGGCGCGCATCGAGGCCTCGCGGACGCTTTCGGTCTCGTCGGCGATGCCGCCGAGGATGGGAGGGATGATGCGGCCGAGGTGCGGGGCGAACCGGTGGCCAAAGGTGGCAGGCAGGTAGATGAGGAGCGAGATGTGGCCCTCGCGCACGTAGGCGCGCGCACTCGAGGCACTGTTGATAATCTCCGGCAGCAGGTTCTCCATGCGCTCCATGCCGAGACCCGCCAGCACCTCGGCGAGGCCCTGGGCCGCACCCTGGCGGTCGACGCCCGTCGCGTCGGAGCGGAGCACCTGCAGCAGCGAGGGGACCAGGTCGACAAAGTGGACCTCGCCGAGCCGCTCGACGAGCGTGCCGAGCGCCTTGGCGGCCACCGCCCGCGCCTCGGGCACCGGCGACACGAGCACCACGCGCACCATGGGGATCAGCTTGCCGAGGTACGGCACAAAGTCCTTGGAGTCGGTGAGGCCGGCCAGGTTGCCCACAATGCGGGCCGCGTTCTGCTGGACCGTGGCGCTGCGCTCCTTGAGGCCGCGATCGATGATGGGCACCAGCAGCGCCAGCGACGGCGAATCGATGTAATGGACAAATGATGTCTCGAGGAGGCCCTTTAGGGCGGCGGGCGTCTTGGTGTTGGGGTCGATGAGCGCCTTGAGGAGGATGGGGACGAGGTCCTTGATCTCGGGGTTGCTGATGACCTCGCCGAACTGCTTGAGGCTCTTGTTGGCGGCGGTGCGGACCTGGGTGTGCGAGTCGGTCAGCACCTCGCTCAGCCGCGGGATGACGGTGGGCAGCGACACCGACAGCTGGCGCGGCGCGCAATAGGCCATGGCGCCCAGCAGCTCGATGGCGCCCTTCTTGGTCCTCCACTGCTTCTCCTCGAGCCCCTCGAGCAGCGTCGGCAGAATCATCTTGACGCAGTGGCCCGACACCGTCTGCATGATGGCGCGCGACGCGTCCTCGGTGGCCTCGCGCACGTCGGCCGAGCCGTCGCCGTAGCCGGCCAGCAGGTGCGGCAGGATCTCGGCAATGTACGGCTCGAACAGCGTCTTGAGCGTGATGGTCAAGGTTTCGAAGGCGAACATGGCGCCCTGGCGGGTGGTGGCCGCCTTCTCGCCCACGGCCGACGAGAGCCGGCGCATCACGCCAAACTCCTTGACGCTGCCGATGCCGCGGCCCATGACGAGACCGGCCAGGCCGTAGGCGGCGCCGCGGCGCTCGGCGTACTTGGCGCCGTGGAATAGCTGGTCAAAGAGCGAATCGAACAGGCGCGGCACGTCTTTGCTGATGGCCTGGCAGAGCGGGGGCAGGCAGTCGGCCACGGCCGACTGGACCAGCTCCGAGGGCGTCTTGAGCGCGTCGATCAGGCGGTCGACGACCTTGCTGATGCGGCCGTCGGTGGCCGCTAGGTGGCGCGCCTCGCGGCCGAGCAGGATCACGACGGCCTCGGTCACGCCGTCGTTGTCGTCCGACGTCGAGGCCGGGTGGGCAAAGAAGGCCTCGAACATGTTGATGAGCTCCGAGATGTGGTCGGCGCCGTGGAGGTCGACGACGGTCGAGGCGGCGTCGAGCATCTTTTCGCGGACGTCGTCGTTGCGGTCGCCGAGCGCCTGGCCGGCAATAGCAAAGTCGAAAAAGGGCGCGACGTCGGTGCCCTGCAGGAACTCGGCCTGGTACTTGAGCGCCGTGGCGATAGCGGCGCGCGTCTTCCACGGGTCCTCGCGGTTCATGGTCGACTCGATGACCATGCCGAAGCGGTCGTACTCGGGCGCCAGCGGCTTGTTCCTCTCGCGGTAGAGGCTGCACAGCGCGGCGACGACCAACGTCACCTGCTCCGGGTGCACGCGGGTGGCCTCGGCGAGAGCGCGGGCGCAGCTCTGGCGCACGTAGGCGTTCTTGTGCTCGAGCAGCGGCACCAGCGCGCCGGCAAAGTCGGCCGGCACGTCGAGCGCGTTCTCGTCCCACGCCTTTTCGGCCAGGCGGGCGTTGTTCTCATCGTCGTCGTGGCAGGCCAGCCAGAGCTCGCGCGGGAACTCGAGGTCGGTCAGGTCGAGGGGCTGGATGGCCTGGAGGCAGCCGTTGCGGACGTAGACTTCGTCGACCATCAGGTTGTCGAGGAGCTTCTGCAGCTCCTGCGGCAGCGTCGAGGTGCGGATGGCCTCTCCCAGGTCCCGCAGCGCGGCGACGGCGTCCTTGGCGATCTGCGAGTGGCGGGCGACGATGTGGACGAGGCTGTCGATGAACGAGGAGCGCGGGTAGCGGGCGTCCTCGCACGCCGAGCCGTGGAAGCTCATAAAGTCGAGCACCAGCTGGATCTGCTCGAGCACCGAGTCGGTGTCGTCGGGCTTGACGCCAAGGCCGCCCGCATGGACGATGGCGACGACCAGCGGGTTGATGAAGGCGACGCTGCCCGGGTCGAGGGGCGCCTGCTCCGAGAGGAAGCGGAGGCGGTAGAGGATGCGGAGGACGAGCTCCTCGATGGGCTCCTGGCGCAGATCCTCGGCGACGAGCTCTTCGTCGATGGTGCGCAGGATGGCGACGCCGGCAAACATCGAGTAGATGTCGAGGCGGGTCGAGGTGCAGCTCGAGAGCGCCCAGAAGGCCTCCTTGGCCTCGGCGCCGACCAGCAGCGTAGCCTGAGGCACGCGCAGGACGTCGAGGACGAGGCCGACGAGGCTCTGCATGTAGCCCTGCAGCTCTTCGGCGCGCGCGCCCACCAGGCTCGAGACAGTCTTGAGCGACCTCACCAGCCGCTGCCGCAGCTCCTCGACGCGCGCCCGCGTCTCGTTCTCGACCTTGGTCTGCGCGTCGACCGTCGCCTTCTGGTCCTTTGTGAGCGTCTTGTTGGCGGCCGCCTTCTTCTTGGCAATCTGCTCGCGGATCTCGGCCTCCCACTTTTCGATGCTCGTGTCCTTTTTGGCGCGCTCGTTGGTCGGCTCCTTTTTGGCCGAGAGGACGTCGACGAACAGCGTGCCCGGCTCGGTGCGCCAGATGCCGAGCTCCTCCTGCGTCAGGCGGGCGATTTCGTCGCACTGGATGTCGGTCTCGATCGACGAGACGAGCTGCGCCATGACCTCGTCCGGCGACATCCTCGCCAGCGTCGTCATGCCCGCGTACCCGGCATCGGCCAGGTGCGGGTCGTCGATGGCGCTCCGCAGCGCCGCCAGCAGGTCCTGCAGCTTGGCCGTGACGAGGTCGATCGGCAGCACCTTGGCGCGGAAGCAGAGGTCCATGAAGCACGTCGTGCCGTGATCGAGCAGGTCCGGGTGGTGCGCGAGGACCAGCAGGCCGACGAGCGCCCGCTGTCGGTCATCGACCGGCAGATCCTCGGCGAAGGCGGAGGCGGCCTGCAGCAGCCTGCGGAGCTCGCGGCCGTGGTTCTTGTGCGAAGACGCACCGTCCTCGCCCTCGCCGGCAGCGGCGGCGGCAGCAGCCGCGCCCGTCGAGGCCTTGGCGGCTGGCTCCTTCGTGTGGTGAAGGTAGGCGAACACGCCCTCGCGAACCATGGTGTTGACCAGCAGGGCGTGGTTGGCGGCGAGCGCCTCGACGACGGCGGTGGCCAGCCTGCGGGAGGACGATGCGCTGCCGTGCAGCAGCACGTGGATGAAGCCGTGAGCCGCCGCAATCCGAAGCGCCTCGTCCTTTTCAAACTCCTTGGTCCTGCGCTCGACGAGCGCCTGGAGCGCGCGCAGCAGCCAGATCTCCTCGTCCGGCGTGGCGAGCTTCTTGACCACCTTTTCGTTGAGCACGAACGAGGGCTTTGGCGCGGTGGCGACAATGGTCTGCAGCGTGGCGTTCTTGTCCATTGCCGCGGCGATCTTGGACGAGCCCCAGGCCGAAAGCCTGCCCTCGAGGATCGCGACGGCGACGTAGCCCTCGAGCGGGCCGCCGGGCGCGGTCAGCGTGTTGGTGGAGGCCGCCTTGAGGCTGGCCTCGAGGCCAGGCAGGAGCGACTCGGCGAACGCCTTGCTCGCAGCGGTGGGTCCCTCTCCGGCAGAGGTGCTCCAGAAGAGCTCGCCGACGGCCAGGCAGACGGCCTTGCGCAGCGGGATCTTGGCGTTCTGCAGCTCCTTGTTGATCGCCTGCGAGACGGCGGCGGCGGGCTGCACGTCCTGCTGCAGGCACCAGCGCAGGTGATGGCAGACGGCCTGCACCCCCGCCTGCATCGACGCCTCCTGGATCTCCTTGGCCAGCATCGGAGAGACGGCCTCGACGATCGCTGCGCTCTTGGCGTGCTCGCCGGCCTCGACCGAGCTGAGCATGGCAAAGAGCGACGCGCGAGCCTCGGGCGTGCCGGCCTTGCCCCCTTTGAGCATGGCGAGGATCTCTTCGACCAAGGCGGTCACGGCGGCCTTGTCCGAGGCGTTGCGGGTGAGGACGCGGAAGAAGTCGAGCGCTTTTGCGCGCGTGAGGGCGTTGGACGACCGCGAGGCCGACACGGTGGCAGCGAGGAGCGGCTTGGCATGCGGCCCGGCGTCTCCCCGGTACGCCTCGAACAGCCTGCTGGCCACCGGCAGAGCCACCTCGGGCGACCGCAGCAGCATCTTCTCCAGCTGGGGCCGCAGCGTGCCGGTGACATCCTGCTCGTCGACCTCATTGGCGATGAAGTCGGAAAGGGCGTCGAGCGCCTGCTGGGGCACCGCCGTCTTGGAGGCGACCACCTGGGCGCTGTAGAAGGCAAGGATGCTCTCCTTGGCGACCTTGACGTAGCCCCTGCCGACGCCGTCCGGTGCTCCCTTGCTCTTTTCCGAGCCCACTCGCAGCCGGACCGACACGCCGACGACCTCGCCCAGCAGCGGTACGGCCCGCAATGCGGCTGCACCGGCCGGGGAAGAGGTGACCGAAGAGATCAGGGCCGGGATCTGCGTCTGACACTGTCGCAGGGCAGACGAGGGGAGAGGATAGAAGAGGCACGTCAGTCCGAAGGCCCGGTCCAGGATTGCACCGGCGGCGATATACGCAGGCTCGCCCGGCACGGGCACCCAAGCGCGGCTAGGAGAACTCACGCTTCGTAGCGTCCGCCGAGTGAGGGCGACGGTGTTTTTGCGGATGCTGGGCTTGGCCCTTTCGCCATCGGCAAGGACCGAGTCGTAGGTGAGGGCGAGGATCTGGACGAGGGGCTCCCAGACCGGAAGAGACTCTGGCTTGGCCGGAGGCTGCCTGGCCTGTGCCGTCTCGCAGGCCACGTCGAGCACCTTGCACACCCACGCGTGGAGGGCGGCGCGGGTGGCCAGTGGCGCGGCCGAGCCCGACGGGCTGCCGGGCTTGCATATCCTCTCGGCCTCCCGCTTGAGCCAACCGACGGCGTACTTGATGACGGGCCCGTTGGCCGACTCCGGTTGCTTGGACTCGTCTATGGAGATGAGGTCGTGGGCGAGCTGGAGCGAGGCGAGGCGCGAGTCGCGGTCGATGTACTTTGCATAGGTGGCGACGAGGAGGGCGAGGAGCTCTGCGCGCCTGGCCGATTCGAGGTCGGCGAGCCTGGCGGCCTTTTTGCCCTGGCGCTCGAGAAAGTCGAGGCGGGTCTTTGTGCTGCTGCTGTTGATGCTGCGGTCGGCGAGGTCCAGGAAGTGGTCCCACTGCTGCAGCGGATCGACCGATGCGGCGGCGGCATCTCCGTTTTCGCTGTTCATCTTGGAGGGGGCGAGGTCGTCGTCGTCGTCGTAGGGCTCGAGCGGTTCAGAAGAGGTAGAAGAGACCCAGTTTTTCAGGTCCTTTGTTCGCATGCTACTGAGCGAGAGGCGGCCGGGGTCTGTGACTGCGGGGGGCGTCAGCTCCGAGAGACAAGGCGAGATCAGTCCGTCTGCCCGAGCTGCGCTGCGTGGCGGTCTGAGGACGGGGAAGAGCTCGACCGCAGTGCTGCCGACTGAGCCGGTGGCCGGGCGGGGTGGCACTTGTGGACCTTGCTGTACTGCGGCCACGTGTCGAGGGGCCGAGGCTGGGTCGAAATGGCGCCCTTTGGCAGGGAAAGGGTGAGTGGGTGGATGAGTGAGGGTGTCGGTGCCAGAGGTCGACGTGGTGTAGAGAGGCGATGGCCGGGGGGAACTGTCGAGGTCGACGGCGAGGTCGCTGCTGCTGCTGCTGCTGCTGGTGAGCTGCTCTGAGGCGCGGGCGGCGAAGAAGAAAAAGGCGGCCGTCTCTCAGCCGCCAGGCCAGGCCAGCCAGCCAAGCCAAGCCCACCGACCGAGATCACGTCCAGGCCAGCCACAGGCAGGCAGCTCAAATCTCGGGATCCGGCAGACAGGGTCCAAAGCTCTAAACCTCGAGGCCAAGAAGAAGTGGGCCCGACGGATGGCGGTGGCGGTGGTGGCGGTTCCCTTCCCTCCTCGCCCTCGCCACCTCAACCACCGTACCTTAGAAACCACCCATCCCGCCGACCGACCCATGAGGTAGCCTTCAAGGGCGCAGCGCAGCATCGAAGACGACCACGGCGACAATGGAACGCACATGCCGCCACTGCGCCCGCCTCGCGCGGTTGCGCCCACATCGTCTCTCGCCACAGAAACCTGCAACCAGGAGCCTTGCTACACTCGCTTCGACCTCGGCTCCATCCTCATATCGTGCTTCTGCTCCCGCACACCGCTCCGACCTCGACTTTGACACCATCGTCATCGGAGCGGGCCATGCCGGCACAGAGGCCGCGGCCGCCTCGGCGCGCACCGGCGCACGCACACTGCTCCTCACGGCCAACACCGCCAGCATCGGCGAGCTCAGCTGCAACCCCAGCCTCGGAGGCATCGGCAAGGGCACCCTGGTGCGCGAGGTCGACGCCCTCGGCGGTCTCTGCGGCCAGGTGGGAGATCAGGCCGGCATCCAGTTCCGCATCCTCAACCGCTCAAAGGGCCCCGCCGTCCACGGTCCCAGGGCCCAGATCGACCGGGCCCTCTACCGTCGTGCGATGCAGGCCGCGCTCGATGGCTACCCCAACCTCACCATACGGCAGGCCCAGGTGCACGGCCTCGACCTCGAGTGGATCCAGTGCAGTGACGCTGGCTTCGGTCCCCAGGCTAGGGTGCGCGGCGTCAAGACGTCGACGGGCGAGGTGATCCGCTGCAGCCAGGCCATCCTCGCCACGGGCACCTTCCTCTCGGCCGTCATCCATATCGGCCTCACGGCACGTCCCGCCGGAAGGATGCTGCCGCTGCCGTCTCAGGGCGACGACCCGGCGTCGGACGTCCTCAGCGCCACGCTGGCACGCGCCGGCTTTGCGCTGTCCAGGCTCAAGACGGGCACGCCCGCTCGGATCGACGCCGGCACCGTGTCCCTCGGCCCGCCGTGGAACTCGGACGGCGGATCGCTCGACCCGAGGCTCGAGGTGCTGCGTGGCGACCCGCAGCCTGCGCCGTTTTCATTTCTCAACGACCGCCCCGACATGCCCGCGGCGGATCAGATCGAGTGCTGGGGCACCAGGACTGTCCCCGCATCCCATGACATCGTGGTGAGTGTGCGGCCTCGGGGCAAAGGCCAGGACTGACCGTCCCTTGTTCCCAGCATCACTGACTGCCGTCCCTCCATCCTCTCTCTCGATTTTCCACTTCTCTCTATCCCCGCGCAGAGAGCAAACCTCTCGCAGTCGATCCACATCAAGGAGACGGTCAAGGGGCCGCGCTACTGCCCCTCGATCGAGTCCAAGGTGATCCGGTTCAGAGACAAGGACTCGCATCCCGTCTGGCTCGAGCCAGAAGGGCTGCCGGGCACGCCCGACGGGTCGATCCTCTACCCAAATGGCCTCTCGTGCACGCTGCCCGCCTCGACGCAGCAGGATCTCATCAACTCGATCCCTGGCCTCGAAAAAGCACGAGTGCTGCGACCGGGCTACGGCGTCGAGTACGATCACGTCGACCCGAGGGAGCTCCGGCGGACGCTCGAGACGCGGAGGATCGAGGGCCTGTACATGGCGGGCCAGATCAACGGCACGACGGGCTACGAGGAGGCGGCCGCGCAGGGATGCGTGGCCGGCCTCAATGCCGGTCTGCGGGCGCAGGGGATGGACCCGCTCGAGCTCGGGCGCGGCGATGGCTTCGTCGGTGCCATGATCGACGACCTGACGGTGCAGGGAGTCGAGGAGCCCTGTGAGTGCCCTCGCCGCTCCTTCGACGCTGTTGCCAAAGCCCACCTCGCTGCGCACCATCGTCGTCGACACACATCAGCTTACCACGTCTTCCCTCGCCCCTTCCTCCCTCCCTCCCTCCCTCATCTGACCTGCTGCGTGAGCAGATCGGATGTTCACGTCGCGCAGCGAGTATCGCATGACGCTGCGGGCCGACAATGCCGATTCGCGCCTGACGCCGCTGCTGCGCGCCGCGTGTGCGGACGCGGTCTCGGCGCGGCGGTGGTCGCGCTACACGGCCGTCAAGAGCGACATGGACTCGGCGCTGGCCAGCCTGGAGAGGGTGCGCAACACGCCCCACGGATGGCGACATCTCGGCTTCCACTGCACCGGCGACTCGCACGAACGCAGGTGAGTGGCCTTGCAAAGTGCGGCGTGGGGTTGGGATGCTGGGGTGTTGCTCTGACCTGAGGGAACCGCCTCCCCTCTCTGCTCACCCCCTTTCGCCTCGATTGCACATCGTTGCCTCTGCCTGTGACTGTGTGACTGCTGGGACGGGCTATAGTGCACTCGACATGCTCAAGCAACCCAACCTGTCGATCGTCGACCTCATCCCCTTTGTACCGGATCTCGAAGCCGTACCAAGGTCCACACTGGAACGCGTCGAAGTGGAAGGTGCGTCATCTTTCGCCGTCGCCCTCATACAATCTCTCCCATCCACAGCTTGCACCAAGTCATCCACCCACTAATACCCTCCCTCCCTCCTCGGCTCGGCTCAACTCGACACTCCACTCCACCCCATGGCGTGGTACGGCATCGAACAGCGCGGTACCTCGTCTTTCTCTCGCGCCAACAGGCCGAGATCAGCACGTACAACACCGACGCGCAGCTCCGCTTCCCGCCCCACTTTGACTTTGCCGCCGTGCCCGGCCTCAATGCCGAGCTGCGCGAAAAACTCGTCCGCCTGCGCCCAGACGACCTCGCCGCCGTCAGATCCATCCCAGGCTGCACGCCCAGTAGCTTTGCGGCCCTCTGGAGGTCCGCTATCAAGGCTGATGCGAACGTTCACCAGCAGCAGCGGCAGCAGCAGTAGGAACTGTGGCAGCAGCAGCAGTAGGAGCTGTAGCAGCAGCAGCAGTAGGAGCTGTGGCAGCAGCGGCGGCGCTTTCAGTCGCAGCAACGCGGGTTGATAGGCAGGCTCGGATCAGATGGCAATCATGCAACCCAGCTTCGTTCGAGCGACAGCGACAGAAACATCCATTTCATCGACGTGCTACCAGCCTAGCCACAGCCCGCCCTCGCCCTCGGCACCGCCCCTCACCCTTCGGGAACGAGCGGCTACCGCTTGTCAAACTTGCTACCGTCCATGCGCACGCCCATGCTGGCGCTCGTCTTGATGCCGAGCTGCTTCATCTTGCCCGCCTCGATCCGCTCGTTCTGCACCCTGCGCAGCTCCTCGAGCTGGGAGCGGCTCATGTAGCTGTCCTGCACCTTGGCCGCTCGGCGGTGCGACAGCCGCGCCGCCTCCTCGTCGGCGCGCGGATCGTACCCGTCGGTGTCCAGCAGCGTCTCGCCCGCCCTGATGGCGGCCATCTTGCGCTCGTGCAGCTGCGCGTTCGTCGACCGATCGACGGTGCCGATGACGAGGCAGAGGAAGAAGGAGCATCAGCACGGGGGACGCGGAGATAGAGGTGAGCTGGTCCAATCCCACGAAAAAGCTGGCCCCCTTCCTTTCCCTCTGGCAGGCACGGAAACGGCCACTCACGTCGAGGTTGTAATACTTTGGATTGGTGAAGGTGGCCGTGTTATAGTCCTCGACAAAGCGCGACGCCTCCTTTTTCTCGTTGGCCTTGGACAGGGTTTCCGGATTGATGTGCCGCTCCTCGACGAGCCAGGCGCGGAACTCTGCCTCGAGCTTTGAAGTGAGGCTGCCGGTCCAGAGGATCGAGGGTGGGTTCGAGACGAGGTCAAATACGGTCCCCAGCGTCGTGACGCAAATGTCGGGTTTGGTTCACGGCACTCACTCGGTCTCGGAGATGATGCCATGCTTTCCCCATTGCTCGGTGACAGCGGCAGAGGCCTTGGAGCGCTGCTTTTCCTCTTTCCGCTGGCGCTTCTTTTCCTTTCGCCTGCGTCGCTCCTCTTTGGACTCGCGGTGGCTGTCGTCCGAGTCGGACGGCGAGCGGGAGCGGGAGCGGGAACGTGACCGGTGACGAGAGCTGCGATGCCTCCGCGAGCCGTCCCTATCGCGATCATGGTGGCGGTCACGGTCACGGTCGCGGTCGCGGTCGCGGTCGGATGGATGATGATGACGGCGATCCCTGTCACGGCGGGAGGAGGGGGATCGAGAGCGAGAGCGGGAGCGGGATCGATGGTGGCGGCTAGACGAGGGTCGATCTGCGGCGTCGGAGCGGCGGTGGCTGTCCCTGTGTCGGTCCTTGCGCGCATCCTCGCCACGGTCCTCGCCTCGGTCCCTCTTGCTGCTGCGATCGTCGTCTCTGTGTCGGTCTGAACGGGATCCGTGTCTTTCTTGCGTCTCTGCCGCGTCGCGGTGCCGGCGGGCAGAGGAGGAGTGAGGATGCGGGCTGGTGCTTCGGCGACGCTCCCGCGGCGGATCCGCAGCCGCCTCTCTTGTTGAGTCTGCCATGGCGTATGTTGGCAGCAAAATGTTGAGTCTCGGTGAGGATGAGGAGGTGGCGGTGGCGGTGTTGATGGAACGAACGAGGGTCCGCAGCAGGGCAAGAAAGAAACCAGAGAGTCGAGCAGAGGCCTCCTCCACCCCGCAGCGCCATGGGCCTCTCGTGCGAGGCGGGTGGGCTGGACGACACTCCGAGTCCCGAGGCAGAAGGCCGAGGAAGTCGTCTGGCCAGAGCAGGGCTGCGCTCGGGTTGCGCGCGCTGCCCAGGAGAGGCCTGCCTGCCTCTGCTGGCCTTTGCTGGCTACTCGCCGACGTGCGCCCAAGAAGAAACGCGCGCACACGCCCGCCCGCCCGCCCGCCCGCTCTCGGTGTGCCTCTCTCTCTCTCTTTCTGCTTCGCGCAGGCCAACCTGTCACTTTCCAAGTGAGAGCACACAGTCGATCAGGGAAAAACGCCTTCCCAACACTCTCTCGACTCGCTCCGGCCACCACCACCACCAACACAACTGTCACCGCCACCATTACCACTCCTCCTCGCGCATCCTCACCGTATCCGCACTAGCACCAGCATCCGACGCCGCCCTCGCCGCCACCGCCACCGCCACCGCCGCCATGTCGCTCAAGGTGCCCCGCGCCGGAGGGCCCAACCTCTTCAAGGAGGGCTACAAGCACTTCCAGGGCATCGAGGAGGCCGTCCTCCGCAACATCCAGGCCGTCGTCGAGCTTTCAGAGATCGTACGCACCTCGTTCGGACCCAACGGCCGCAACAAGATGGTCATCAACCACCTCGAAAAGCTCTTCGTCACCTCCGACGCCGCCACCATCATCCGCGAGCTCGACGTCGTGCACCCGGCCGCAAAGCTCATCGTCATGGCCTCCCAGCAGCAGGAGTCCGAGATGGGCGACGCCACCAACTTTGTCCTCATCCTCGCAGGCGAGCTCCTCAAAAAGGCAGAGTTCCTCATCACCATGGGCCTCCACCCGTCCGAGATCCTAAAGGGCTTCGAGATCGCACGCGACCGCGCGCTCCAGGAGCTCGAGTCGCTCTCGGTCGCCACCCTCACAACCCCGCCCACGCCCCAGTCGCTCGCCCTCGCCCTCCAGCCCGCCCTCGCCTCCAAGCAGTACGGCCAGGAGGAGCTCCTCGCACCCCTCGTCGCAGAGGCCGTCTCGATGGTCCTGCCCCCCGCATCTTCCTCGTCGTCGTCCAAGTCGTCGAGCCTCGAGGGCTTCAACGTCGACAATGTCCGCGTCGTCAAGATCATGGGCGGCAGCCTGTCGCAGTCCAAGGTGGTCCGCGGCATGGTCTTCGGCCGCGAGCCCGAGGGCGTCATCAAGAAGGCGTCGGGCGCCAAGGTGGGCGTCTACACCTGCGGCATGGACATCAGCCAGACCGAGACCAAGGGCACCGTGCTGCTCAAGAACGCAGAAGAGCTCTCGAGCTTCTCGCGCGGCGAGGAGCAGCAGCTCGAGCGCTACTTTAAGGAGATTGCCGACTCGGGAGTCAAGGTCGTCGTGACCCAGAGCCAGGTGGGCGAGCTGGCGCTCCACTACCTCAACCGCTTCGGCATCCTCGTCATCAAGATCCTCTCCAAGTTTGAGCTGCGGCGCCTGTGCCGGCTGCTCGGCGCCACTCCGCTGGCGAGGCTGGGCGCTCCGCTGCCCGAAGAGGCCGGCTGGATCGACACGGTCGAGACGACCGAGATCGGAGGCGACCGCGTCACCGTCTTCAAGCAGGAGGACGGCCAGCCGGGCGGCAAGGCCAAGCCGCGGATGTGCACCGTGGTGCTGCGCGGCGCCACGTCCAACCTGCTCGACGACGTCGAGCGCGCCATCGACGACGGCGTCAACGTCATCAAGTCGCTCACGCGCGACCCGCGCCTCGTGCCCGGCGCGGGAGCGACCGAGCTCGAGCTGGCCAAGCGCATCGCCGACCTGGGCGAAAAGACGTCGGGCCTCAACCAGCACGCCATCAAAAAGTTTGCAGAGGCCCTCGAAGTCATCCCGCGCACCCTGGCCGAGAATGCCGGACTCGACGCCACCGAGATTGTCAGTCGGCTGTATGGCAAGCACGCAGCGGCCGAGGGCGGCGCCGATATCGGCGTGGATATCGAGGTGAGTTTTTTTTCCCGTCGCGGCCGCAGCGATGCGGCAACGTGTTCCCCCTCCCCGCGATCCGGGTGCGAAGGAGCGAAGCGAAACCCTGCATTCTGGCGCACGTCCCCTCGTTCCTCTTCGCTGACACGTCCGGCCACGTTCCGCCACGCTACGCTGCGATCCGATCCGATCCGATCCGATTCGCCGCTATCCCACGTCCAGAACGAAGAGGACGGCACGCTCTCGACGACGCAGCACAAGATCTACGACGTTCTCGCCGCCAAGCTGTGGGCGATCCGGTACGCGACCAATGCGGCCTGCTCGGTGCTTTCGGTCGACTCGATCATCATGTCGAAACCCGCGGGCATCAAGGCTCCTAAATCCAACCCCAACTGGGACGAGGACCCCTAATCCCCCCCTCCCTCCTTCCCTCCTTCCATTGGTTCACGAATGGTCGTCGCACCCACACCCTTGTATTTGCAGAGATCCCAGTCGCTCCCTTGTTGAAGCAGACAGTCGAGAATCTAGCGACACCCGTTGGAAAGCTGTAGGTCCCAACCCCCTTCGTTGGGGTTGCCCAGACGATGTTGTCGCTGTGCGACGTCGTTTGGCGTGTGGCCATTGCTCCTGCAGCCGAACGGCAACGGGGGGTTGCTGCGCCGGACCCGCCGTCCCTGCGCCACGCCTCGCCGCGCTCTGGCTCTCTGATCGTTGTCGGCCGTCGTCGTCGCCGCGTCGCATTGCCGCTCTCCGGGCCGCATCTCCAAGCCTATCGCGCGCACCCTTGGAGGGGGCTGGACCCCTCTGTCGGTCGGTCGCTCGCTCGCTCGCTCCCGTGCGCACGGGTTCATGGTCCAGGTATCTGATTGTTTGGATTGGAGGGGGTCATTACGGGATCGAGGGCGAGCAGCGGGCAGATGTACGAGGTGCGAGGGTTACGGCGAGTGTGCGTTGTTATCCTACAGCGTGCGCGAGAACAGCGAGAATGTAGCGAGAAGAGGGGGCAGCGGAAGGAAGAAAAGGAAGGGAGGGAAGCGGACCGCAAAAGGAGGCGAGAGCAAGACGAGTCGAGGGACAGTAGAAACAGGGAGCGGGGTCAGATGCAGTAGTGGTGGTGGTCATTGGTGGAGCAGCAAGACGGACAGGCAGGCGTCGACGGACCCTCGCACACCCGCACGGCCGGCGACCAACCTAGCGCGTGCTGGTGGCGTTGTTGAAGGCGAGCTTGTTGATGGTGTCTGCGTCGAGACCAGTCAGGGCGCCGCTGGTCGAGAGCGAGACGAGCGCCTTCTTGAGCTGCGTGGGGCTGAGGACGCCGCCGATGGCGGGCTTGGCGGCCTCGGCAGCGGTGCCAAAGAGGCCGGTGAAGCTGCTGACCAGGTCAAGAGCCATGGCGGGGATGGGCAGGACGCTCGAGAGCCTCGAGGCGAGCGAGTCGCCCAGGTCCGAGACCGAGAGCTGCTCGGCGGCGTGGGCCTGGACCAGGTTGAACTCGTCGGTGCCGTAGATCGAGAGGAGGTAGGCGAGCAGGCCGACAATGTGCGGGCTGGCCATCGAGGTGCCCGAGATGGTGTTGACCGACGTGTTGCCCGTGTTCCACGTCGAAAGAATGTTGAGGCCCGGGGCAAAGATGTCGACGCACTTGCCCTTGTTGCTAAAGTAGGCCCGCTCGTCCTGCACCGTCGAGGCACCGACGGTCACGGGGTTGGTGGCGCCGGCGGGCGAGACGTTGCACGCGTCCTGGTTCTCGTTGCCGGCGGCGACGCCAAAGTGCATGCCGCTGTCGACGGCGCCGTTGACGGCGCGGTCGAGGGTCGGCGACTTGCCACCTCCGAGCGACATGTTGGCGACAAAGCCCTTGTGCTTCTTGGCCGCCGCCGACGTCGGGTTGGCGCGGAGCGACTCGGTGATGCGCTTGGCGTCCTCGACGGCCCAGAGGACGCCGCCGGTCACGTCCGACATGGAACCGGAGCCGCCGGAGCCGAGCACCTTGACGGCGACGAGCTCGGCCTTCTTGGCCACACCGTACTTGCGCGAGCCAATGGTTCCGGCGCAGTGGGTACCGTGGCCGTTGCCGTCCTCGTCGACGTCGTTGTCGGGCATCGTCTTGCCCCAGCGGGCGCGGCCCTCGAACTCGACGTGCTTGATGTTGATGCCCGTGTCGATAATGTAGGCAGTGACGCCGTCGCCGCCGTCGCCGTTGTAGAGGTACTGGTTGAAGGTGCCGAGGCCGAGGCGCTTGCGGTGCGAGATGCGCGCCAGGCCCCAGGGGGCGCCCTTCTCGACCTCGTGGGCGTGGACCTTTCCGGTCGAAGCGGCTGCGAGCTCCTCGAGCTTGGAGGCCGTGTACTCGACGTCCCAGACGCGCTCGTCGCCCTGAGGCATGACCTCGGTCGAGACAATCGAGTCGACCTCGACGTACTCGACCTCGGGCTGGGCGCGGATGTAGTTGAGGACGTCGTCGGTAAACTTGCCGGCGTAGCCCTGGAGGTGGCCGTCGAGGTCATAGACGTGCTTGATGCCCGATGCGTCGGCACCGTGGAAGCTGTTGGCCGAGAGCTGTGCGGCCGAGACGAGCTGGCGGTGGGCAAAGAAGTCGGTGGCGGCGACGCCCTTCTTGAAGACGACCATGTAGCCGCCGGGGACCGACTCGAGGTCCGGGTTGGCCATGAGGGGGGCGAACGCGACCGTAGGCGAGTAGCTGGAAGCTGCTGCGCCGGGGACAAAGGGCTGCTGGTGCGGGGCGGCGAGCGCGGCCATGGGGAGCGAGAGGGCCAGGGCCAGGAGGCCGAGGTAGCGCTTCGTGTACATGATGGGCGAGTGGTGGGGTTTGGAGGGAGAGGAGGGGGGAAGAGGCTATGCTAGGCTATGCTAGGCTATGCTAGGCGAGGCTGAGGCGCAAGCGTATGGGCCAAAGGAGGCGATGCGATCAACGCGGATGGATCGACGGATGGATGGGGGTGGGTTGCGGGTAGATGCGGTCTCGTTGCGATGGGAGCGATGGCAGGCAGGTTGCGGAAGTGTGCGTGTTGGGTCGGATGGAGGAGGTTGGGTCAAGAGTATGGACGATGGATGGAGAGGAGAGGCAAGAGGCGGTGGCTCGAGGCGGAGCGGTATTTGAGGGGTCAGGGTGGCGGCAGCAGGCGACCCGACCGGCCCCTAGTCCCTGTCTCCCCTCGCCCCTCGCTGCGATCCAGGTGGAGCAGCACTGCGCGGATGGGCGAGCGGGCGGGCAGGCAGGCGCAGATAGATAGCCCCAGGCCCCCATCAGCCTCAGCCAGGCAGCCAGGCCATGCAGCCAGGCGAATGACCACAGGGCCAAGCAGGGTCAGGGCGGGCTTGCCTTGCCTTGCCTTGCCTTGCCTCGCCTCTGGCCGGCCTGCTTGCGTGCGTGCGCGCAAGCAACACCCCGCCCGCCCGCTAAACAGCAGCACCCTGGCCTGACTTGGCCTGGCCCCTGCCAGGTCCTTATCGCCCCCGCCTTAGCTTGGCCTAGCCTCTTTGCTGCCTTTGCCTCGACAGCACGCAAGAGCGAGCGCAGCTCAGCTTGCCTCTGTCGCTCCTGACTCGACGTCTCTGAGCCGGCCCTCGAACGCGCCGCTCGCCACCTCGTACATACGCCGCACACAGCCTCGACGATCTGGCAAGCGGGCATAGGGCGGGCGACCATGGGCCAACGACATGCCAACGGCCCCCTGTCTCCCTTTTTGTGTGGCCGACCAGCAGGGCGCCCTAGCTTGCTTGAGGGCGACGGATGGGCGCCGCCTAGGCTCGTCTGCTTGCCCTTGTGACTCTGGGCTCGCGAGTGGCCCGCAGCCCCACAGAGAACCGGACCCTGGCTGGCTGCGCTGCTGGTCTGGCCATGCCCGGCGCCCGCCCAGCCGGCGAGCTTACGCGGCCCCCCTGACTCGCCCGCTCGCTCGAGCACAGGCCAGGCCGCCAAGTGGAGGAGGCGCCCGGATCGCCGCCGTCAGCAGCAGGCTAGGTTGGCTCTCCTGCCCAATCGGGAGATCGATCGACTGAATGGCCGGCCCAGCTGGACAGCGCCAAGCCACGCGAGAGCGCACCGCCACCCAGGCCACGCCGCCCGGCGTCACCGTACCGCCAGCCCGCGGCGAGCTCCGAAGCCACCTGCGCGCGGCGAGCTCGTCGAGCATCTACCCCGCCCTCCGACTCCGACGTACAGCGACGATCCCCTTTGACGACGCCATCGCCGCCGGCCACCAACACCACCACCGCCGCCACAGTCGCCGTCTTCGTCGCCGTCGCCGCTTCCGCACGCATCCAGCCGCCTCGCTGCGGGCCAACTCCGACAAGGGACAAGCTAAGCAAGGTTTTTCGTCGCACCACATGCGATGCCGCACGGTAGACGTCGTCCAACGTTTGCCGCGGCAAGAGAGCTGATGGGTCGACAGAAGAGAGAGGAGAGAAAGGGGACACCCGCCCCCTCTCGCTAGCTCGCAGTCCGGCCGCTCTTGTATGCATCGTCGGCACCAAATCCGGCTGGCTGGTGGCGCGACGTCTTCATCGCCCACCACCAACGAACGACAGAGTCTAGCCTGACCGCACAGCTTCATGGATAGCCTCACCTTTCTTGGCCGAGAGATCCACCAACACAAGACGGGAGAGAGCGGCTAGGCTCGTAAAGCGGGGCTGCAGGAGTCGATCCAGTCGATGGCCGGAACCATGACTACCTAGCCTAGCCGGCCTGCCTGCCCCTCTCGGCCAGCAGGCATCCGAAGAGCTCAAGACGCGGCGGCAGCAGCAGCCAGTCAGGAACTCGGGTCCGAGCCTGTGTGGGTATGGAGCTTCGCCCGATGGCTCGACCCGATCCGACATGCCGGCAGAGGGAGAGATCCGGGACCTGCTTGCTGCAGCTGCAGCTGGCTGTGCCGCGCCCGCCCTTTGAAAGAACGCACGGGGGGGTGGGGTCGCGGGGGTTCGGCAATCCAGCGAGCCGGACGAGGCGGGCGGACAAGGCGGGGTAAAATTGTGGCAGGTGCGGGGGCGGCGTAGGGCGCTGCGCCCTCGCCATTCGCCATCGACCGACGCCCCGGCCTCTGGCGCCAGCATGTTCATCCGGCATGGTGCGTGTGGTCCGGTCGTCGTCGATCGGGCAGCCCGGCAGGCGGGCACCACGCTTCACACCGGCCTGCTCCTGCTTCTGCTTCGGGTCGGGCCGTTTCGGGCTGTTGCGGCCAGCCGTGAAGAGGGCTGATCGTTTGGAGGAGAGAGAGCGTAGGAGGCCCGGGATCTCGCAGAGGTCAGCGCAGAGCCAGGTCCATGCCATGCCAGCCTTGGCTCAAGACGGTCGAAGCAGCAGAGTACGTGCTGCTGCTGGTGCTGTGGTGGCCAAAAGGACGGGCGTGGGGATCGCAACTGCTGCCGCCATGGAGTTACACCCATATCGGCCGACGGCGACAGGCTCGACCCGATCGAGATGGTGACGATGCAGCGGGCGGGCTCAGGGGGGTTGCGTTTCACGCCGGCGCTGCCGTAGAAAGGCCAGCAGGCAGGCCGTGGTCGCGGAGGGGGGTCCCAGCTCACGCGATGACCGTGAAATCGGCCTGGCGCCGGCCCTCTCCACATCGGTCTCTCTTTCGACGGCGTCACATCTGCCAACCTTGGCCGGCGCTGGCTCTGGCCCGCTCCCGGCCTCTCCATCCTCGACCTTGCTTGCCCACCTCTGTTCGACGAGCGACGTGGACAGCGCCGGGCTGCTGGGCTGGAGTCGCTGGCATGGCGCCAGGCGTGGGGGAGGACGAGGGCCAAAGACGATGCAGGCAGCATCGTCATGCAAATCGAGCCAGCGCCCTAGCTTGGCTGGCTTGGCCCCTGCCCTGGCCTCGCCGCCCAGCGCAAGCCAGCCAAGAAGGTCTCGGGTGCTCGAGCTTGGCCCCTCCCGGCCCAAGCCGGCTTCAAGCCTGTCCGCCCTCCAGCCCGCCAGCCAGGTGCGGTTTTGGCTCGTGAGCGCCCCGCTCCGCTCGAACCCTTCGCCCTTCGCCCCCTCACGGCCCTCCGGCCTCCTGCTGGGCTCCCCCGCCTTGGCTCCTCCTTGTCCCCGCAGCTCGACGTCGTGCTTGCCCCCGCAGCCCCTCAAATAGCTTAGCCCTCCGGTTCCCTTGCGCTCCGGCTTCCACATCTCCCCTTCTGCCCGTACATCTCCCCGTCGACGCAGACCTCTGTTCGCTCCGCTCCGCTCGCCCGCCCGTCGCCTGAACCGCCGCAACGTCGTCTACCGCCCTCTGCATCATCGCCGCCGTCCCCACTGCGAGCATCCCGTCGAGCCTCCTCCTCGCCTCATCGCCTCATCGCCTCATCGACCTCGTGCGCCCGCTTGCCGCTTCCCAGCAACCATCTCGCTGCGACCAGCCATCTCCACGCTTTGAGCTAGCAGCCGTCGAACCGCACAATCGGCGGATCACCCAGCACACAGCGAACAGTGCTTTCTCCCCCGCCCTCCTTCCCACGCACACACACGATGCCCGCTGCTGCCGAAAAGAAGAAGGTGGCTCCGTCCACGCACCTCATCGCCGGAGGCATTGCCGGCTTCGCAGAGGCCTGCACATGTCATCGTGAGTCTTTGGCTCAGCGACGCCGAACTCGCGCGGCGTTCCGGGCGGGCAGGAAGAGAAGACAACAGCGCTGACCCCGAGCCTTTCTCCGATCCCATTCCCGGCACTCCTGGCGGTGGCGGCGGCGGCTTGCAGCGCTGGATACGATCAAGGTGCGGATGCAGCTGTCGCGCCGCGGCCGCGGCACCGGCGAGAAGCCGAGAGGCTTCTTTGCCACGGGCGCATACATTGTCAAGCGCGAGACGGCCCTCGGCCTCTACAAGGGCCTCGGCGCCGTCGTGGCCGGCATCGTGCCCAAGATGGCCATCCGCTTCATGAGCTTCGAGTACTACAAGACCGCGCTGGCGGACAAGAACACGGGCATCACTAGCTCCAAGGGCGTCTTCCTCGCCGGTCTCGGTGCGGGTACCACCGAGGCCGTCGTCGTGGTCAACCCCATGGAGGTCGTCAAGATCCGCCTCCAGGCGCAGCAGCACTCGCTCGCCGACCCGCTCGAGGTGCCGCGGTACCGCAACGCCGCCCACGCCCTCTACACCATTATCCGCGAGGAGGGCGTCATGACCCTCTACCGCGGTGTCGCTCTGACCGCTGCGCGACAGGCGACCAACCAGGGTGAGTTGGACATCCTCGCGGTGGCTCGGGAAAGGGGACCGCTCAGGACGCAGATGTGCTCTCGGATCGCTGACACGCCGTGCTGCCATGGTGTCGCGCTGCCCCCTCTGCTGCCACTGCAGCTGCCAACTTCACCGCTTACCAGGAGCTCAAGGCGTTCGCCCAGAAGTACCACGGCACGACCGAGCTGCCGTCGTACGAGACGGCCGCCATCGGCCTCATCTCTGGTGCTCTTGGACCCTTCTCCAACGCGCCCATCGACACCATCAAGACGCGTATCCAGCGCGCCTCGCGCGTCGAGGGCGAGACGGCCCTCAGCCGCGTCGTCAAGGTGGCCCGGGACATGTTTGCTCAGGAGGGAGTGAGCGCCTTTTGGAAGGGAATCACGCCGCGAGTCGCGCGAGTCGCCCCAGGTGAGCAGGCAAAGCACGAGGCGCGAGTACGACCGGCGACGAGGTCGTGGCGACGGACGCTGACCCCCATGTCCCTGCCGCATCGTCTGTTGCCTCTTCTTGTGCCCCCGCACCCGCAGGCCAAGCCGTCGTCTTCACCATCTACGAAAAGGTCAAGAAGTACCTCGAAATGGCCAAGGCGGGCGAGTTCAACCTGACCGACACGAGGTCGGACGAGTAATGTGGGCCGTTCCGCTTGTCCCTCTGCTCGCCCAAGAGCTCGAAGAGGACTCCCTGGCACGGACATTCAACCTCGAGACGCTACGCTCCGGCCCGCCTAGTACGGCCTCGTCTCGCCGCGTTGGCTGGCTTTACCGGTGACGCCTCGCCTCTTCCCTCTCCAACAAACCCCACGCTCTCTCTTTGTGTACCCCTCTAGAAGAAGACTGCCTAAAAGCGCACGACCCGTCAGGACCCAGCTAATGTCGCCGTGGTGGCCACGAAGCCGTTTGCATCCCCCCGGGACGTACGTTCGAGGCCAGCTTGGATGCGATCGGGAAAGGGCCCGTCATCGGGATCGGGAGCTGGAACGAGGGCCGCGGCGGCGGACGTCCGCGTGCCAGCCTGGCCTGCCAGGCCTGCCGGCTTCGCTTGCAACGCTCGCAGGCCCAAAGCTGCCAGGTTCCGGCCGTAGCGTGCTGCATGGCCAGGTCAGGACAGGCCCAGCCAAGCACGGGATGGCATGGCAGAGTCGTCGTCAGGAGGAGGAGGTGGATCCAGTCACGCAGAGCCTGGCGGTGGTGCGAGGTTGGGTTGGAGGGACTAGAGCGGTGGTTGGATGCAAGCTCGCCCCCCTCTCTATCTGACCTTTGGCCTTGCGTAAACGAGGTCGCGGCTCGTGCAGCGCCGTACCGACCAGCTCGCGCTGGTGCTCGCCTTGACTTGTCTGACCAGGTCAGGTCAGGTCAGGTCAGGCACGGCACGGCGTCGCGAAAGCGAGCAAGGTTACTCGTCTAGACGGACGATCGTTGCTGCCCGGCTCGCTCGCTCGCTCTTCCCCTGGCCTCCTGAGCTTATGGTAACCTCGTCCGCCTGAGCCTGAGGTTCTAGAGGAGTGGAATAGCGTCGACCATTGGGAAAGAAGAGCAGGCCAGGCCAGGTGGCAGACAGACGACCCGATGCCGTCGTCACACGAGACGAGGGCCCGCTGGCGACGGGTGCGAGGAAAAGGGACCTGCCGTGGGCGAATGTTTGGTTGGCGTTGCCATCATCGTACGACCGTCACCTGCTGCCGCCCCCAGCAGCAAGCAGAGAGAAGCAGCAGCAGCTCCGTGAGGCTCAGCCTGCCGGGCTCGTTTGCATGCGTGCTGTGTGGAAAGGCTTGCTTGCGACAGACGACGAACGGCCAACCAACCGCCTAGCCTGCTGCCTGGGATGGAGCCGAGACGGAGATCCCAGCAGGCGGCCGGCTAGAGAGAGACGAGGCTCGTGGGCGGCAGAGAGCGAGCGGTAAACGGGCCCCGCCGTCGTTGTCGATCCCCAGGCTGCTGGGTACGGTACCGGTACCTAGCAAGCAGGCGGGCGGCAGAGCCAGGCCACCTGGCCTCCCGGGCACGGCCAAAGAGACAGGCCAGGGCGAGCGCGCCGGCAGCGCAGCCGGGGCCAGCAAAGGGAAGGGGCGGGGCGTGCGTGCGCGTGTGCGGGCGGGCCAGCGAGCAAAATGCACACCCGCCAGCGGCAGCGGCGGCCAGGGCACACACCTGGGGCACGCCTGCATCTCGAGGGCGAGCGAGCAAGCAAGCAAGGCCACGCTCGGCGCCCACCAGCCTTCCCTCGAGGCACACAGCCGGCCTGGGGCCTGCTAGCTGCTGGCTGCTGGCTGCTGGCTGCTGGCTGCTGGCTGCTGGCTGCTGCCCTCCCCTGCCCTGCCCTCAGACCAGGCCCCAGTGCCCCCGCTACCGTACCCTGCGCTGGCCTCTGCTCACGACGACGACTGCCAGCCCCACCTTCCCTCTACCTCAACCTCGACCTCGACCTCGACCTCGACCTCGACCTTCGTCACCCCTCTCCTTCGGGTCTTTGCTTCGGTGATCCTCCCCCCCCTTCTTTTGAGTCCCGTCCCTTGCGCCACCCGCTCCATTCATCCTTGGCCGACGTCGCCTCTCCTCCTCCTGGTCCTCTTCGTCGAGCTCCTTCGTACTGCACGTTTTCACCGCTTCTTCGCCGTTCGCCTACAAGACGCCTACGCCATCGTCATCGTCCCTTGACGCCATCTCCACCAGCCCCACTTCTGACGCGCCCCGTCGTCGCCGTGGCTTCGCTACCACCTCTTCGCCTTTTCAAGCCTAGCTTCGCGTCGTCGAACGAGCCGTTGTCCTACACTCCGGCCTGATCCCCGTCGCACCTGCCTCGGTCCCATTCGCACGTCGAGCCTTGTTCGTCACGACACTTTACGGCGCTGCGAGGAACCTCTTTGGTCTTCTCTGAGCCGCTCTTTCTCCGCAGCCCCCTCGTGTTGCTAGCCAACTCGTATCTTCTTTCGACCCGGCTGCTGGTCCCGCAGCTGCCGCCTTTCGACCCTGCTGGCAACCGTCCCTGACGCTATACCCCGCCGCAGTTGCAGCGCTGCGCAGTACGCTCGAGACGGTCCTCTCTCGACCCTGATCGTTCGTTGCGAGCAGGATACTCTCTTCCACGTCACATTCTGCCTACTCCCAGCGCACCACGCCGACCTCACCGCTCTTGGACAGATTTCGGCAAATCCGTCTCGTCGACAGAGGTGCTCCCGTCTTGCACGCCCCCACAGCAGCCAATTCTCGCACAGTTGGCCGCCGCACTCGACAGAACAGCCCCGCTCCCGTGTTCAGGCAGCTGCGACCGTTCCCCTTGACGGCTTGAATCGTGAGTAGCAGTGCAGGAAGGTCTCGACGGGACACTCTGATCGCTCTTGCCGGACCGTGCACCACGGTGGCAGAGGCTGTCGCGCGCCGGATCGACAGACCCATCCCGAGCTGGGAAGGTCACGCACATGCTCGGAAACCAGCCGGCGCGGCCTGGACTCACCTCGCGACAGCCGCTGACATTGCTGTATCTTCCCTTTGTCCTCCTGCGCTCGCTTCACTCCGGATCGCCCTGCCCTTTCTCGACCTGTCGTCGCTCCTTCCCTTTCGACGTCTTCCTCGCCTCCCGTTGCTGGCCCTCGACGACGACATGCGTCGTGTCTTCAGCATCTTGCGTCGCTCCATTCGTCCACTCCTCGCCCGACCTAAGATGCACGAGGAGGCCCCCATGTCGCACCCCGACCAGTTTGCACTGCTCAACAGTAACGGATACCCCGCCTCGGCTTCTGCCAACGCCTCCGCCAATACCCCCGTCTACAGCCTTGACGCGCTCGAGATGATGAAGCGGGCGTCGTCGCAGTCGTATGACGCGCACGCGGGCCTGGGCAACCTCGCGTCGATGCCGTCGACGGTCGCCGGCGCCGACGGCAACGGCAAAAAGACGCGCTTCGTGTCCGAGGGAAACATTCCCAACATCAACCAGCCCGCCTTTATGGGCGGGGCCGGCGCGCACTATGCGGGCGTGCCGCCCAACAACGGCCAGGCGCCCTTCCTCGGCAACGGCCAGGGGCCTGGGCAGCATCAGCATCAGCACCAGCACCAACACCAGCACCAGCATCAGCAGCACCACCAGCACGCCTACGGCAACCTCGGTCTGCAGCCGCCGGGAAACGGCACCAACGGCACGCGTTCGTTTTCGGGCAACCTCGGCAACGCCAACCTGCTCGGTGGCGGCGGCCAGGTCGGGGCGCCGCATTTCGGCGCCCAGGGGTCTCCGGCCTTCATGATGCCTGGCGCGAATGCCCTTTCGCCGCAGCAGGCCGGAGCCATCTACGGCGGCTTCGCCAACTTTGCCAACGGCCCCGGCGGCTTCATCCCCAACATGCCCATGCTCGCGGCCGGCCTGCCCGGCCAGACCAACCCGCTGAACCGGACCGTCTACGTGGGCAACCTGCCGGCCGACGCCTCGGTCGACGAGCTGCTCAACCTGGTCAAGTTTGGCCCCATTGAAAACGTCCGCCTACTGCCGGAGAAGAACTGCGCCTTTATCTCGTTCCTCGACGGCGCCACGGCCACCGCCTTCCACGCCGACGCCTGCGTCAAGAAGGTGTCGCTGCACAGCCAGGAGCTCAAGATTGGCTGGGGCAAGCCGTCGCAGTGCCCGCCGACGGTCATGATGGCCGTCCAGCAGAGCCAGGCCACGCGCAACGTCTACCTCGGGCAGCTCGACGAGGACGCGACCGAGGAGTCGCTGCGCGACGACCTGGCCCGCTTCGGCCCCATTGACCAGGTCAAGATCGTGCGCGACAAGAACATCGGCTTCGTGCATTTCCTCTCGATCCAGACGGCGATGAAGGTGGTGGCGACGCTGCCCACCGAGCCGACCTGGTCGGGCAAGCGGGTCAACTACGGCAAGGACCGTTGCGCCTACGTGCCAAAGAGCCAGCAGCAGAACCAGGCGCACAACAACCAGGCGGCCGCCATGGGCCTCGCCGCCGCGGCCTCGCTCGGATACCCGACGGCGTTCGGCGCTGCTGCTGCCGGTGCGGCCTTTGGGCCCAACGGCGCCGGCGTCGCGCCGCTCGACGAAAACGGGCGGTCGCCGGCCAGCTCCGTCTTTGGGCCCGCCGCCGCCATGATGGGCGCCAACGCGGCGGCGCTGCAGCAGATGGGCAACCGCACCGTCTACCTCGGCAACATCCACCCGGAGACGACGACCGAGGAGATCTGCAACCACATCCGCGGCGGCATCCTCCAGAACATCCGCTACATTCCCGAGAAGCACATCGCGTTTGTCACGTTTGTCGACGCCAACACGGCGCTCGCCTTCTACCACCTGGCGTCGTACTCGGGCATCATGATCCACAACCGCCGGCTCAAGATTGGCTGGGGCAAGCACTCGGGCCCGCTGAGCCCGGCGATCCAGCTGGCGGTGCAGGCGGGCGGCTCGCGCAACGTCTACATTGGCAACATCGACGACCCGGAGAAGCTGAGCGAGGAAAAGATCCGCAGCGACTTTTCCCAGTACGGCGAGATTGAGATGGTCAACAGCCTGCGCGAAAAGAACTGCGCGTTTGCCAACTTTACCAACATCCAGTCGGCCATCAAGTGCATCGAGGGCATGAAGAACCACCCCGACTACCAGAGCGTCAAGATCGCCTATGGCAAGGACCGGTGTGGCAACCCGCCGCGCAGCGTGGGCAGCCTGCAGGTGCACAACGGCGGCGCGCGAAAGACGAGCGGGTCGGTGTCGCCGAGCGCCTCTGCGACGCCCAACCACGTCAGCACCAGCAACAGCGCCAACAACGTGGGCGACGACACCATGGTGACGGCGTCGGAATCGGTGCCGGACCTCAGCTCGCTGGGAGCTGGCGGCGGCGGCGCTGCTGATGCTGCTGCTGCTGCTGCTGCCGGCAGCACCGATGGCGAGGACGTCAAGCCGGCGCCAGCCGCGGTGACGGTCAAGGCCGAGTAGCTTGGCCGCCGCGCTGCGTCGCGATGCCCTCGGCCTTTGTCACATCGGGCTCTCCCTCACTCTGGCCTATGTCAAGCCTGTCAGCGGTACCTCTGGAGCTGCTGCAGCCGTCGTCGCCACCGCCGCCGCACCCGTTGACAATCCCTCGGACCTGCCCGCTTTGTTTGTTTTTCGACTTTTGAGCTTCCCCCGTCGCCGTGCCTTTCCCCTCGCGCCGTCTCGTCCCTCGCTCGTTTTCTCTTTCCTTTTCGCCCTCTCTCTTTCCTTGTTCGTGGTTGCAGCTGCCCTCTGCCAGGGGGGCCACTGACTGTCGAGGAACGAGCAAAACACTCTTTCCGGTCGTTGCTGGGGGGAAACCGCAGAGCGTGGGGTACCTCGAGGGCGGGTCTTGTTGGTAGCGGGCGTGTAAGGTGCTGGCGAGTGGCCGCGGACTGGGTCCCGGTGGCGCGGTGTGATCGGGCCGCCCGTCGATCAGAGGAATCGCCCGCTGGCTCGCCGGCACCGTACGAGGTGGGCCCCGGCTTGGCTTTCCAGCCCGATGTGCGCTTGATTTCAGCGGTCGGCCCTTTCGGCGGGTACCTCGATGCTTGATCCAAAAGCAGGGCGAGAAGCAGAGGCCAGGCCAGGCCTAGGATGCCGGCGGGTGGCTTGTCAGAACGGGACGTCGGCCAGCGGGTGATCCACCATCGGTACAGTGCGCTGCCCAGTCTGCTGTGGCCTGCTTCCACGCAGAGTCCAGCCAGCCAGCCAGCCAACCGACCAACCAACTCATCCCCCGGCTTCAGAAAAGAAAAAAAAAGTCGAAGGGGGCCGCACACTCGCCGCCGAAAAGAAAAAAAGCTGTCGCTCGAGGCAGGCAGGCAGGCAGAGAGGGGAAAAAAATCCGCCGACCGAAAGTCACACACGCACGCCGCACCCAGCACCGCAGGCTGGCCCAGAGGCGAGGCCAAAGCGGCGAGGCGAGGAGGGCCAGGCCAGGGCGCACCAGCCCCAGCGCAACCCAACTCACCGCACCGCACCCGCCAACCAGCAGGCTAGGGCCAGCTGCCTGGCCAGTAGAGCTAGTGTGCAAGCCAGGGTACAGGCCCACGCCCCCAGGCAGGCGCAACCCACACGCTCCCCACGGCCGATTTCTTCGAGCAACACCACCTCGGTCTTTGGCTGCCTGTGTGACGCTTCTCTCTCTCTCCCTCTCTGTAACCCGCCGATCGTCGCTCCTCCTCCTCCTCCTCCCCACCACCGCCCACCGCTCGCACCCCACACGGCGCCGCGCGCAAGCCAAGGCCACACAAGACCGCACACGCAGAGCAGGGCGCGCAACCCCCGATTCCCCTTCCCTCTGACCCTCGTTTTGGCCGGGTCGACCGCCGTACTGGACCTGGGCCTCGTCGTCGTCCTCGCCCTTGTCATTGACTTCCATCGACCTCTGCCAACGACTCGACCCCACCTCGGCACGCCTCACGACATCCCCGCTGCCCGCTCCAGCCCCCCTTGACGGGTGAAGCCTCGCCGTCACCGCCATCCACCGTCGACGTCGGCCCACCACCTCGTTGCAACGTTGCACCGACGTCACCTTTTCGACCGGCTTGATTTGCAAAGGGGCGACTTTTTGCGCCGGCTTCCTCTTTATCTTTGCACGCCGCACCGCCCGTCGCACCAGCCGACGACCACCCGTTGCAACGTCAGCCTCGATCGCTGCAGCTCTAGCCCGACCCACCCGTCGGCCTGGCCGCTGCCTTCCGCACTCGTCGGCCCGACACGCTCGACACGCCACCTTGAGCCCAAGTCGGATCCGGACCTGGACCCAATCGCCGGCCTCTGCTCGCGCTTCCCTGACGCCTTCTCGGACCGTTACCGCCTCTGGCCATCTTCGGCCTGGTACCGCCAATCCGGTCACAACCTGAGCTCCAGCTGACCGCCGCCCCCTTCGCAGGCTGCATACAGCAAAGCTTTGCGTCCACAGCACCCGTCCCCGGCCTCCTCCTTGGCGCCTGTACGACTGCTGAAAAGCCGTCCGTCCGGTCTTTTGCCGCCTGGAGAACAACCTGTCCAGCCACCGATCATCGCTCCGACACAGTGTCTCGCAATGGCTTCCACATGGCAACCGCAGCAAGAGGGGCTCGCCGAGCTCCTCCAGCTCTTCCGCGACTCGCAGGTCTCTGAGAGCGAGGTGCAAGAACGCATCGCCAGCGTGAGTCGACCTCCTTGCCTCGAGGCGTGGCCTGCGATCTGCCCTTGATCGCTGCTCTCGCCCGCCGGATCTGACCTGGCCTCTGGCTCACCTCGCTTCCCCTGCTGCCTCTGCTCTCGCTCCGATGCCCACCCTCTGCAGCGGCTGGACGCCGTCAGCCGGATCCCGGACTATGCCAACTACCTCGTCTTGATACTGACGTCGATGACCAACGAGGAGCTCTCGACGCGCTCCGTGGCCGGACTCATCCTCAAGAACCACATCCTCTTCCACAACGACCTCATATCGCCCGAGTCGTACGAGTATGTCAAGCAGGCCATCATCCCGGCGCTCAGCCTGCCAGAAGACATGCTGCGCCGGACCGTGACCCAGGTCGTCTCGATGCTCATGGCCATCCTGACGCCGCAGGCGTGGCCCGAGGGCCTCTCGAAGCTCGGAGAGCTCATGGGCTCGCAGAACTTTGAGGAGGCCGAGGGCGCGTTTAGCACATTTGCCAAGATCTGCGAAGACATCCCGCGCGACCTCGAGAGCTGCGAGATCAACGGCGTCAAGCCGCTCGACGTGCTGATCCCCAAGTTCCTCGAGGCCACGCAGCACCCAGACTCGCGGATCCGGATGCACTCGCTCAACTGCCTCAACCAGTTTGTCACTTCTGGCTCGCCCGTGCTGCAGGACCACATCGACACCTTCATCGCCGCCCTCTTCAAGCGCGCCAGCGACGAGGTGCCCAACGTCCGCCGCTTCGTCTGCCAGGCGCTCGTCCTCATCCTCGGATCGAGGCCCGACAAGCTGGTGCCGGAGATGGACAACGTCGTCGAGTACATGCTCTACTCGACGCAGGACAAGAACGACGACGTGGCACTCGAGGCGTGCGAGTTCTGGCTCCAGTTTGCCGAGGAGCCGCTGCTCAAGGACAACCTGCGGCCGTACCTGCCCAAGATCGCCCCAGTCCTCCTCAAGGGCATGGTCTACAACGAGATGGACCTGCTCATGCTCGGCGGCGACGAGGACGACGCGGCGGTGCCGGACCGCGCAGAGGACATCAAGCCGAGGCACTACGGCGGCGGCGCGCACAAGAACGAGCACCTCGAGGACAGCGCCGACGGGGGCGCCAGCGGCCAGGGCAAGTCGAGAGCCGCCATCGAGGCCGGGCTCGACGACGACGAGGACGACTTTGACGACCTCGACGATGACGACGACGAGGACGACGACGCAATCAGCGACTGGAACCTCCGCAAGTGCTCGGCCGCCGCGCTCGATGTGATGGCCATCAACTTTGGCGACGAGCTGCTCGAGATCCTGCTGCCGTACCTCAAGGAGCGCCTCTTTAGCCAGGACTGGCTGCAGCGCGAGTCGGGCATCCTGGCGCTCGGGGCCATCGCAGAGGGCTGCATCAACGGCGTCCAGCCGCACCTGCCGACGCTGGTGCCCTTCCTGATCAACAGCCTCAAGGATCCCAAGCCGCTGGTGCGCTCCATTACCTGCTGGACGCTCGGCCGCTACTCGAGCTGGTGCGTCGCCGCAGAGACGCCCGAGCACCAGCAGCAGTACTTTGTCCCCGCCATGGAGGGCCTGCTGAGCATGGTGCTCGACAACAACAAGCGCGTCCAGGAGGCCGGCTGCAGCGCGTTTGCCACGCTCGAGGAGGAGGCGGGGCGCACCCTTGAGCCGTTCCTCGAGCCCGTGCTCAAGACGCTCGTGTTTGCGTTTGAAAAGTACCAGCAAAAGAACCTCCTCATCCTCTACGACGCGCTCGGCACGCTGGCCGACTCGGTGGGTTCGGCGCTCAACCAGCCCGAGTACGTCAACACCATCATGCCGCCGCTGATCGCAAAGTGGCAGAGCCTCCACGACACGGACCCGGACCTCATCCCGTTGCTCGAGTGCCTGTCTTCGGTGACGATCGCCGTCGGGCCGGGCTTCCTGCCCTACTCGCCGCCCGTCTACCAGCGCTGCGTCACGCTGGTCCACGACAACCTCGCCGCCGCCGAGGCCGAGATGCAAAAGGCGCCCGAGGACCAGGACATCCCGGACCGCACCTTTATCATTGTCGCGCTCGACCTGCTCAGCGGCCTCACCCAGGGCCTCAATACGCTGGTGCGCGACCTCGTCGCCGGCTCGCAGCCCTCGCTGCTGCCGCTCCTCGGCCACTGCATCACCAACGTCGAGGCGCCGGTCCGCCAGTCGGCCTATGCGCTCCTCGGCGACCTCGCCATCTCGTGCTTTGACCTCCTCAAGCCGTACCTGCCCGCGCTGATGCCCAAGCTCATCGAGCAGATTGAGCCGGAGCCCAAGATTGAGAATGTCAGCGTGTGCAACAACGCCGCCTGGGCGACGGGCGAGATCGCGCTCCAGTACGGCTCGGACCCGGAGCTGACGCAGTGGGTCGAGCAGCTCATCAACCGCCTCGTCCCCGTGCTGCTCAGCACCAAAAGCGTCAAGAGCCTCTCGGAAAACGCCGCCGTCACCATCGGGCGGCTTGGCCTGGTCCAGCCCCAGCTCGTCGCGCCGCACCTCGAGGTGTTTATCGAGGGCTGGTGCCAGGCTCTGTGGGACATCAAAGACAACGATGAGAAGGACAGCGCCTTCCGCGGCCTGTGCGAAATGATCCAGGTCAACCCCAACGGAGGTGAGTACTCGGGGGCCCCTCGGTCGACAGATGCGTCGTCGCATTGCCTCGCCTCGGTCGCCTTGTGCTGACCGTTTCCCACTGCTCCGCTTTTCCTGCCTTCGCCTTGCCTCCCACGTTACCTCGGGGCGCGCGCAATCGCAGCTGCCAAGGGCTTCGTCTACTTTTGCAACGCCGTGGTGCGCTGGACGACGCCGAGCGCCGAGCTCAACGAAATGTTCCGCAAGATCCTCACTGGCTTCCGGGACATGGCCGGAGCGCAGTGGGACGTGCAGAAGGCCCAGTTCCCGCCCGTCATTGCGCAGCGGCTCGCGGATCGCTACGGCCTCTGAGGGATCCCTCCCCTTGCCGCTTGCCCTCGCTTCTGGCCCCCCCCCCCCCCCCCCTCCTCTTCCTCCTCCTCCACCCGCTCGCTCCTCCTCGTCATCCTCTTCTCACCCCCGCATCCTCATCTGAACCCCCTTCGTCTCCTCTTCCTCACTCGGTTTTTACGAGCACGACGAGCGAAGAAACCCAATCAAAGGTGGCTGCCTGGGTCGCGGTTGGGCTTTGGGTTTTGGGGTCTGGGTTCGCGGTTGGAATACGGATACGGATACGGATACGGCGAGATGGACGACGCGGGGGGCCTGGGTTCGTAGAGGCAGCGCTAGGGCCGTGGCGTGGCGCGGGTGCAAAGGGCGGACGAGAAGCCGACGAAAGAGGGCTAGCTAGAACAATTCCTTGAATCAATCAACCAAACGAGGCTGCGCTGCGCTGCGCTGCTGCGCTCCCACCCCGCCACGACGTGCCCGAGCTGTGTTTGGCCTGCGCAAGGTCGAGGTGGTTTGGGTGCTCGTGAAGGCGAAGGAGGGTAGGGAGAGAGAGAGAGGTGGACACGTACGTACGTCCGTGCTTGCGTGCGTTGGTGCATCCCGGAAGAGGGTGGTTAGCACCTCGGCCGCCCGCCCTTTGCCCCTTCACCTTGACCTTGACCTTGACCTTGATCTTGGGTTTCAACGGCAAGTCGGCTGGCGGGCGGGCGGCTAAGTAGAAGCACCATCCCCGCCCCCTCTCGCCCCCCAGAGACGGTCTACACGCACGCTACCTTTTCTCCCCCGTTGCTACGCCACGACTTGCCTTGAGCTGGTCGAGATACGATGGCTCTCGAGATACGATGGCTCTTTTGACGATGTCAGCGAAGGTGGTTGCCACCTTGCCCCGCCCCCCTCAAGATCCGCCTGGTAGTCTCCGCTTTTTGGGGGAGTGCAGCTGCGAATAGCAGGCCTTGGTGGAGCACTGCAGAGCGACTCAGGTTGGGGAATCGGGGAGGAGGACGCGCTGGATGCGGCCGCGTATCCCTGGTGCTCCTGTCCCGCTCCCAAATCGGTTAGGGTATGGGTGATAGGAAGGGACGGGAGGACCGCATCACCATCACCCAGGCCATGCCATGCCAGCCAGCCCTTCCTTACCCCTCCCCCTGCACTGGCAGACGGATACGCTGGCTAGGCTGGTACGGTGAGGTACGCTACGGCACGGTGCGGTACGGTGCGGTACGGTGCGGTACCTATCGGCACATACGGAAGTATGGATGGACGGAAAGCGGACGGACCGGGCGGTGGCGCACGCACATGCGATGCCGAACGGGTCGGCATCGTCGAGTCGTCCGGCGTCGCAACAACCCACATCCACCAACGGCCGGGAGTCATCGTCGGTGCGCCCTCGTCCTCGTTCTCGTGCCGAGGAGTGCAACGTCGATTCTCAACATCGCTCGCCATCAAAGTCGGTCCGTCCCCCTTTCCCGCCTCGCACGCAAACGCACTGGGCCAAAGATGGATGTGTGTGGCGTCGAGATTCGTTGACATTCGATTCGTAGGTATGATGATGATGGTAGGCTTCTAGTAATACAAGTTGGGGGTTTCGAGAGGAGGAGCACCGGCAAAGGCGACGGCGACGGAGGGGGCAGGCAGGATCGCCCGCACCGAGCGGGTCCGTCGCCGCATCGTGTCTCTCTACAAAGCAAGGGGGGGGGTCGTCACGGTCACAAAGCTGGGCAAAGGGGGTGGGGGCAAGGGGCTACAAGAAGATGGGTCGTGGGAAAACGTCAAGAGAGATGGGAGAGGCCAAGGCCAAGAGCTGGGGTCGTGGATCGTGGTGGTCGTGTTTGGGTTCGTATCGGTGGTCGGGAGCATGGCTGGCGGCCGTCCTGGCCCTTAGGCCGACTGGGCGCGCTCCTTCTGCTCGGCCTGCTGCTTCTTCCACAGGTCGAGCTTCTCGCGGCGCACCTTGAGGCTCTTCTTGACGTTGAAGCCGCCGTCGAGGGTGCTGCGGACCTCTTCGAGCGAGAGCATGGCCGTCTCGGGGTAGAGGAAGTAGACCATGATGAGGAACATGAACGTCAGGCCGGCGTAGAGCCCAAACGCGCCCGAGGGCGTGATGGCCGTCATCGTCTTGAGGAACGTCGACGAGATGATGAGGTTGCCGCTCCAGGCGCACGCCGTCGAGATCGAGGTGCCGACCATGCGCGTCTGGGTGCCAAAGAACTCGCCGTGCAGCCAAGGCACGGCGCCGAGGCCGGTGGCGTACGAGGCGACGTAGAAGACCATGAAGACGAGCATCAGGCTGGTCTGGTAGCCCGGGTAGGGGAAGCCAGAGAGGAGCTGCTGGTCCGTGGGGCGGAGCATGACGTAGAAGATGACGGCCGTCACCGAGAGGAAGAGGATGACGAGGGGCATCGTGATGAGGAGCAGGCGGCGGCGTCCGAAGCGGTCGACGAAGCCGGCCGTGACAAAGGTGAAGAGGCAGTTGGTGCCCGAGATGATGAGGCCCGTGGCCGTCGGGTTGTTGAGGCCAGCCGCGGCGAAGAGGGTGCCGCTGAAGTACATGAGCGAGTTGAAGCCGCTGAGCTGCTGGGCGAAGAGGAGCGCGCCACAGATGAAGACGGCGCGGCGCGTGGGCACGTCGGTCCAGAGGAGCTTGACCTTGCGCACGGTTCCGATGTCGTCAATCTCAATGTGCCTCTTCATGACCATGACCTTGGCCTCGATCTCCTGCGGCGTGGCGACGGGGTACATCTTGGTGAGCGCCGCCTCGGCCTCGTCGTAGTGACCGCTCTTGACCAGGTGACGCGGCGACTCGGGCATGAAGAAGTGGATGCCAATTGCCTGGAAGATGGGGGGCACGCCGCCGATAGCGATGATGTAGCGCCAGCCGTGTGTGACGTTGGCAAAGGCGGCGCCGAAGGCGTAGGCGATGACCTGACCGCCGGTGATGGCGATCGAGTTGAGGACGGCGAGGCGGCCGCGGTGTTTTGCGGGCGCGATTTCCTGGATGTAGACGGGGACGAGCTGGGCGGCGCCGCCGACGCCGAGACCCATGATGAGACGGCCGACGGCCATGACCATCTTCTGGTGGCAGGCGGCCTGGATGATGACGCCGACGAGGAAGACGATGTCGCAGAAGAGGAGGGCCCACTTGCGTCCGAACTTGTCGCCGACGAGGCCGATGAAGAGGGACGCGACAATGGCGCCGACGGTGAGGGCCGAGGTGACGAATTCCTTGTCGCCGTCGCTGAGGACGCGGTTGTCGAGGTCGCGTCCGATGACGACGAGGACCGACGAGATGGTGCCCGTGTCGTAGCCGAAGAGGAAGCCGCCGATGGCGCTAAAGGCGGTGAGGGCCCAGAGGTAGAGCGAGGTGCCCTTGCCCTGGCCGGCGGCCTCGATCTCGGCCTCGTCGAGGACCTGGCTGAGCTCGTTGACGTCGATGATGCCGTCGGTCTGGTCGATGGACTGGGTCTTGAGGACCATGGGGTCGCCGTTGGAGTTGGCGAAGCCCTTTGCCTCCTTGTTGTCGAGCGACTGCTTGTCCGAAGACGAGCGACGCGTCTCTGCCGGGTAATCCATGGTGGGCGCGAAGGGAGGTGGGGCTTTGGTCGGGTCCGGTTGGGTCAGGAGTCGAGAGTCGAGTCTAGAGTGTTGGCGCGACGGCGTCGGCTTTATACGGTGGCGCCGACGAGGGAGGGTTGCTTGAACGTAGAGGGGAGGGCTCGAGGATGTATCCTATCGATGTTCTGGCACCTTCGTTGTGCTGCGGGTCGATGGGCGTCGAGGTGGGCGGCGGCGGCGATATGAATCGCGTCGGGGGAGGGCGGATGCAGGAGGGGGTGGGGCCGACGACGACGGGGAAGGATGCAGAAGGGGGGAGAAGGCTGCTGCTTGCTGCGAGATGGAGGAGCTGGATGAATGGAAAGTGCGGGGAAGGCCAATGAGGTGGCGCCTACTTATGCTTTTGCAACGTACGATGGTCGTACGCCCAGGCGGGGGCAGCCGGGGGCTGCAGCACCACGCACGACGGCAGGCGATTGTACATACTGTACGTACAGGACAGCCTGAGTAGGTACGTACGCTGGGCGAGAGCCGGTGCTCGTCGTGGCCGTCGGCCTTGGCAATGAGGCAGGCGTGCGGGCAGAGAAGGGCGATGTGGGAAAAGCTGGGGCAGCGTGCATGGGGATTGTGGGGTAAAGCTCGACGTACAGGCGACTGCTCCGCTGCCTGACGAGGGCGGGAGCGGCCCAGGGCTGAGCCAGAGCTCGACAGCGACGGCGAGGGCGAGGAAGAACGGGGTGGCGGCGAGGGGCGGGCTGCCCGGCCACCTCACATCGCCTCGAGGGGCGTAGTAGGAGAGCGGGCGTAGGGCAGCTGCCTACCTGCTGGCCAGCTCAATCGATTCGATTCGGGGTGCATCAAGGGACAGGCTAGCCTAGTGCGGGGAAACGGGCACGGCCAAACCGGCCCAGGGCACCAAAGGCAAGGCAGCCAAGCCAACGCTGCATGATGCCTCTCTGCTCGCTCTCGCTCTTGCGCTTGGCCAGTGGCAGGCCTCGTCGGACCGGTCGCTTCACCACGCGAGCTGCCATCCGGTCCACCCTTCCGCCTGCCATGGAGCAACCGTACGGCGTGGCCCACCTGCCCTTGCCCGCCTTGCCCTGCCCTGGCCCTGACGCACCGTAGCGTGGCAAACACGGGATCGATGGAGACCTTGCTTTGTCTGCCGCTTTCCTGACCAACCTCAGTCATTGCGGGGTACAGTACCTAGGCAGCGAGCTAGGCAACGAGCTGGCCCTCTCTCTGGCACCGAGCAGGGTGGCCGCGCTCCCCGTCGAAGCTTCCGGAAACGACGCTGCGCTCGCAGCTGCTGGCAGACCTGCTGCACCCTGCCGTCGTGCTACAGCCGTACGGTGCCGTACAGCAGCAGGCCAGCTCGAGCGAGGGCATCGCTACTGTAGCACTACTCAGCCACGGGGCGGCCGGCCCCCACCTTGACCCTCGTCTTCCTGCTTGATTCTGACCCAGCTTACCCGTTCCGCCGTGCATTAATCGAATCAGCTCCATGCAACCCCTTCGTGGTCCTCCCTTGGCAGCACCGATATCGGTCCGCTGCGATTGGACCGCCTCTGCGCAGGCGGGCAGGCGGGCCTCGAGTGGTGGGCAACGCGGATGACTGAGGTAGCGTCACGTCGTCATTACAGCTGTAGCTGCGCTCGTTCGGCGCGAAAGAGCGAGCGGGCAAGCAAGGCAAAGCACCCAACACGATGCCTTGCAGAGCGAACTCGACACAGTGTACGTACGACTCGGCAGCGCCCGATCCAGCCATGGGGGCAGGCACGCAGGGCGACGAGACGTTTCGAGCAAGCATGCCAGCAGGACTGGACAAGGGGGAGCGTACATACGACCATAGACCCTCTAGCGGCCGCAATCACAGGCACCGGCAGAGCAACGCACGCTATGACGACCACGTTGCAGCAGACTAGGGTGCCGCCGCCACCGTAGCACCTACGCAACGCAGCGCAAGAGTCGGACGGCGGCGAGGCGGGCGACGGCGACGACGACGACGACGCTCGATCTTCAATCTAGGATCGGAGAGGCAACCAAAGGTTCCAGGCCCTCGTGAGTGCGTGCGTGAGTGCGTGCGTGCAGGTAGGTTTGCGTCGATGATGGCGATGATCAAAGGGCAGGCCGGGCGGTGGCGGCGGTGGCGGCGGCGGCGGCGGCGGCGGCGCGAGTCGGAGCGGCGGTCCGGTCCTGTCGCGGCGTTCAATGCAGTCGAGAAACCTCCGAGTTTCTTCTGATGCGGGCCGTTTGCGCGGACCGGCCAAATTCGCACCGACCGGACGCGGGCGGACCCCACCTGATGAGCAGCAGCCGCCCCCCCGCCGCCCCCNCCGCCGACCGCGCCGACGACGACGACACGGAGTACGGAGAG